CAGAGTGGGACAGGTGGCTGTCCCCAGTGACGTGGGGCTGAAGCGGCCATGTCCTGGGTCACTCTGCAAGGGGGGGTGGTTTGCCTCTGCGCTGCTCCGGGCTGGCCAGGGGCACTGCCAGGGGCTGGGGACACCCAAAAGTGGGGGTAGACTTGGCCTTACCCGGCCACCACCATGTCCTTCCAGGCTCCCACGCCTCCCTGACTAGGTTTTGCCTCCAAAGAGGGTTTTGGCAGCAAGACCCAAACGGGGTTTTGGCAGCTAGAGTCCCTGCCCAGCCCCAAGGCAACAACATCCCACTCGTGGCCTCATCTTGCAAACCACAGGGACCCATTGCCCATGGCTCTGGCCTGTGCCATCAGCTCCAGCACCGCCAGGTGCTATGGGGAAAGGTGGGTGTGAAATCACACCAGAAAATGCACATTTTTATGTTTCCCCAGCAGGTTCACCAGTGTCTTTAGAGCAGTGCTTCGAGGCCACCTGGAGCATCACTTGCAGCCTCAGGCACCCAGATGGGACCGCTGGGCACCAGGTGTGGCACTTTTGGCAAAAAGTGGGAATAACATTTAGCTGAGCATGGCTGTGGCTCTGACCCTATCGGGATCCATCAGCGTTGGTCACTGAGTGGTGACGGCTCCTTCTCATCCCAGCTCCGGCTCCAGGTTCAGGGAGGTCTCGCCTGCCCAATCCCCCTCATTCCCCCCCCAGCACCACTGCAGGGACAGCCTGGGCCACATCCTGATCCCCCCAACACCCAGCCACCCCCCTCCTTACTTCGCCGGGCACAGAGAGCTTGTGGCTTCCTCTCAGCTCTTTAGGAAATTAAACTTTTATAAGCAGAAAGGTTTCTGGGCTCTTGGCTCCCCGGCGCAGGAACCGCAGCCCAGCCTGCGCCCACACCCTGCCCGCTGGCTGCTCCCCTGCAGGGACAGACGGGGCCTGGACACCCCGTCGATGGGCTGAGCGCTGGCAGGGACAGGGACGTGGCTGCCCATGACCTTGGTGTCATCCTTGACTTGGAAATCTTCTCCTGCGTTGCCAGTGCTGCGGTCCTGCCTGCGGCCACCTCCGATGGGGTGCAGAGCGCAGCGCCAGCCCCGCCGACACCCTCGCCCAGGCTGGAGCTGCACCCCATGCTGTCACCCACTGCCACGCCACCGATGACATCTCAGTGCCCAAAATCCACCCTGAATCCCACCAGGGATGCCCGGTACCTCCGTGGCTGGAGCTCACGGGGCACAGGAGGCCCGAAACACCCCCCGGGCATCACGGTGCTGCCCTGGCCACGCCGCTGCTGCCTGTCCTGCTGCAAACACCTTTGTCCCACGTGGCACCATGTGCGAAGCCGTGTCCTGTCCCCCCTGTCCCCAGCCATGAGCAAGCACATGGAGCTGCTTCCCCTGGGGATATCACCCACAGCTCAGCTCCCGCTGCCCCAAGCCCTACCATGTCCCCCAGCCCAACGCTGGTCCCCAGCAGCGGGAGGGGGAAGGTGGTGGCGGTGCCACCACCAGCCTGCGCTGCCTCCCACCAGCTCAGCCTTGTGCTGCCACGTCCCTCGGCAAAACCAGCTGCCCCTTGAGCCCTGACGAGGGGTTTGGCCCCCGACTCGCACCCCGGTGGCAGCTCTCCCCATCTCCCCTTGTCCCCAACATGGGGTGTCCCCTCTGCACACTGCTCGGGGCAAATGTTGGGGACCAGGACACCCCCACACCTGGGGACACCTGGTCATGGCAAGACAGGGAGGAGAGAGCCTCTCGGCGGGATGGAGGCCTCCTCTAACTGCCTGTTGAATTATTCAGGAATGGTATTAACTTATAAATGAGTGTGTTTGACTGATTTTGTGGTTGATGTACAGATAAATTCTAATGAAAGACAGCTACAAGATTTTAAATTATTAATTAGACTGCCACTTAACAAAGCCTATTTGGCACTCTATTTCCTTGCTTAACAAGACAAAAACTTTAAGAATAGGTTTTGCATTAGCCCACAGGCTCTTCAATTTGCATTTTGTTTTTCTAGCTCCAGAAATGAAAGCTGTACATCTTGACCTTAACAGGCTACCCCTGGTGGGATGCAACCCTGCCGGCAGCCCCGCTGCCTGCCTCCACCTCAGGCCCCCAGTTTCCCAGCCTGGATGATGCTTCTTCTCCAACTGGGAGTACCGGGGCTGGGAACCAGGGCTGCTCCGAGGGCTCGCGGTTTATTTTCAACTGTCAGCCCGATTGGGTTAATACACCGAACAAAGCCGAGGCGAGAGCCGGAGTGAGGAGCATCCGAGCGCGAGGCCCCGCAGCCACAAGGTGACATTCCCCCCAGCGGGAAAAAGCATCCCCGGGGGGGCGGCGGGGGCTCTGCCCTGCCCGGGGGTCCATGCCCCGAGGCAGGGAGCCGTGGGGGGCTGCAGGCACGGCGTTGGCACCTTCTCCCGCTGCCGGAGCCTCGCCAGAGAGGGGCATGTGGTGGTGGTGGTAAGGGCTCAGCCCGGGGCTGTTGTAGTCACACCTTCCCCGGGGCATGGGACAGGTGTCGGAGGGGGGGGTGTCCAGCTGGGGTCTCTCCGCACGGCACCCCTGTCCCCCAACATCTCCCTGGGACTGGCTGAGGCGCCGCGGGGCCAGGGGTTGTGCCCCCCTCTGTGCCCTGCCCCGGACCCCCCAGGAGGGCCGGTTTCTCCCCTCGCTGTGATGTCAAAAAGCTCCCCTATGATGTCCCAGGCTGTTGCCATGGAAATAGCGTGATGTCACAGCGGAGCGAATCTCCTCGGGGGGGCGGAACGGGACGGCTCGCCCCAACTTCCCCGCCGAACCCTCCTCGCGTCCCCCAGCGATCCCCGTTTCCCCTTCCCACGCCCCGGGGGACGAGCACCGACCCCCCGGCTCCCGCCGCAGCCCCGCTGCCTCCGGGACCCGCCGTACCCCGGTGCCCGCGGGACCCGCCGGGTCCCCGGTGCCCGCGGGACTCGATGCCTGTCGTACCTTCCCCCCCCCGCTCCTCCCGGTCGCCTCCCCCCTCCCCGCTCTCTCCCCGCCGCGCTGCGCTCCCGCCGTGCGCCGCTGGTGCCGCTCCCCGGGGACCCCGGGGGGTGCCCGAGCCTCGGTGGCAGCGGCGGCGCCGGTAACGCGGCGGCGGCGGGGGGCGCCCGGCGGCGCGGCCCCAACTTCGGCGGGGAGACAAACTTCGGGGCCGGCCCCGATGCCCGCGGTACCCGGTGCCCTCCCGGTGCGGCGCTCACCTTGGCGGAGCATCTTGGAGCCGGGGCGGGCGCGGTCTCCCGGCGGCGGCGGCGGGCGGCGGCGGCGCTCAGAGCCGCGGGCGCGGCGGCGGCGAGCGGTAGCGGCGGCGGCAGCGGTGGCTGCTGCTGCACCGGGAACGCGGAGCCGGGGCCCGGGCGAGCGGCCCCCGCGGGGGCATGGCGGGCCGAGCCGCAGCGGCACCGGGGAGCGGCGGCCCCGGAGCACCGGGGAGCGCCGGCCGCGCCTCTGCCCACCGCGCGTCCCGCCGCCGGCTTTTAGGGGGGAGCCGCCCCCTCGGGGCTGGGGCCGCCGCCGCCCCCCACCCCCTCGAGCCGAGCCTATAAAGGGGCGCTCGGTGCCGGTGTCGCGCTGCCTGCAGCGGCGGGCAGGGCTGGGCAGGGCGGGGCGGGGCAGCGACGGGGCGGGCAGGGCTGGGCAGGGCTGGGCGAGCCCGGCCGGGCCCCCCCCCCCCCCCCCCCCCTCCTCCTCCTCCTCCTTCCGCCGCCGCCGCCTCTCCCGCCTCCCGTGGACAGTTCGTGAAAGTGCCGCTGCTCCCGTTCCCCGCGCCAACCCCCACCCTGGCTCCCCCACCGGGGCGCATGTCCCAGCGCCGCCACCCCCCTCCCCACCCCGCCCCGGGGTCTGCGGTCCTCCCGGGACGGTCACCCCCGCCCCATTGCCGTCCCCTCCGCCGTCGTGTCGTGTCGTGTGTGTGTCCCGGTGCCCCGGTATCCCACCGGGGCTCTGCAGCTCCCTCACCGCACCCCGCGCCTGCCGCGGTCACGCCTGTCCCCGTTGTGCCGTTTTGCCCAGCACCGTCCCTGCCGCTCCCCGGGGCTCTGCCGTCCCCGCCGCCCCGCGGTGTCCCGCCGTGGTCCCACCATCACCCCATGGGGTTTTCGCCACTCGATCGGGGTCCTTGCTGTTCCCGCTGTTCTCGCAGTCCCGGCACGGTCCCTGTCGCCCCCGCGGAGTCTCTGTCGTACCCTATGGTTCCCTCTGTCCCTTATCGTCCCTTCCGCCCTACCGGGTCCCTGCTAGCTCACCGGGACAATGGATGTCCCACCGGGAGCTCTGCTGTCCCCTCTCCCCCCCGGTCCCTGCTGTCCCCTCTTCCCCGCTCCGGTCCCTGCTGTCTCCTCACTCCCCGCCGCGGTCACGACACCCCCACACTGGTGCACCGCTGCCCCCCGGCCTGGCCCCGCTGCCCCCGGGCCGTCTCCTCTTGCCCCTCGAGGGTCCCTCCTACTTCCTTCAGCCCCACCAGGGGTCTCGTTATCCCACCGGGAGCGCTGCCGTCCCCACTGTCCCGGGGGTTCCTCGCTGTCTCCCCGGTTCCCTGCTGCCCCCGGGGCTCCCCACTACCCCCGAGTCCCTCCTGCCCCACACCTCGCGGGGATTTGTCTTTAGCCCCGCTACACAGGGAGAGGACACAACGCACGGACCTGTCACCACGGCAACGGTCCCGGCGCCTCCGCCCCCTCCTCGTGTTAACGTTTGGGACCGGCGGCTCCAGGGTTGTCAGCACCGGGGGGGACATGCGGCGGGGCCACGGCCCCGACGTGAAGGGAGGCATCCCCGACATTTCAGCGTTTGGCAGAGCCCGCTGCACACCCAGGGGCCCGTCGGGACCGTGCCGGGACCCGTCGGTCCCCGCCGCACCGCCCGTCCCGTCGGGGCCCGCCGGCGCGCTCCCACACTCGATCTCTCGGCCGGCGACTGCTCCGGCCTAGCGCGGGGCTCGCTTAGTGCTGCCTTCCCGCCTTCACGTGCTCCAGAGCCATGGCGGCCTCCGTGAGGGCCGGGAGCGCGGCCCCGGTGCCCGCTGCAGGTGGGCCGAGGCTGGGTTAACGCTGGGTTCCCGTTGCCGGTACCGGGCGCTATTTCGGTTGCCTCAGCGGGGGAGGCCGGACCGGTGGCGGGGGAGGGCTCCGCCACCGGCCCGGCCTCCCCCGTCACCAGCCCGGCCCAGCTGGCCCTTTGGCGGTTCGACCGTGGGCCGTGCGGGGAGGGTTTGGTGGCTCATGAGTGTCGGTGTTGGGCTGGAAATAGTGAATAATCCCCCTGCTGTCACTCCCCCGCTGCTCTCCGGCTTCGCCGAGCTGTAGGGGGGCGGTTGCTGGCGGGGGCCGGCTTCAGGATGAGGCTCCCGGGGACGGGCCTGGCTCACCCGCTGCTGTTGCCTTTTCCCTGGTGAAACAACGGGATCCCCTCGATGGAGCAGGAGAGACTTCCACGGGTGCCCCCGAAATGTTTGTGGATGAGGTGGGGGCGGGTTGTGCCAGGTGTCCCCCGGTTTGGGGGAAGCCAGCCCCAGTCATAGAGTTTCACATAGTTACAGTGCTGCTTTCTGGGAAAAAGAAAAAGAAAAAAAAAAGGTGTTTTCCCACAGAAAGTGCCATCAACCAGCCACCGGAATGAAATGTAGAAGCCCACCCCCTTCTGCCCACTCGTCCCGGGGATGGCAAGAGGGCAGCGAGGATGCTGGTGGCCCGGGGGATGCAGGGTGTGCTGCCCTCCTGGTCGCTGCTTTAGGCCACCCTGTTTGTCCCGCAGCTCGAGGCCCCGCGCGGCGAACAGCGCAGCAGATCCCTGAGGAGATCCTCAATAACACGGAGCTGCGCGAGGCGGCGGAGGCCCTGCCCCAAAACTACAACTTTGAGATCCCCAAGACCATCTGGCGGATTCGGCAGGCTCGAGCCAGGAAGGGTGAGCGCTGGCCATGGGGACAAGGGGTTTTGGGGCTGCAGCGTGGTGGGTCGGTGCTGCTGAGCTTCCCTGTGGTGAGGGGACCCTCTTGGGCTGGCGCGTTGGGCCGGTGAGGCCAGGGGAGGGATGGTGCTGAGCTGCCTGGCATGTTTAGGCTGTGTCTTGGCAAGCTTTCTTTCCCTCGAGGGGGGTTAATAGATCTGTATCTCTGGATTATAATCACATCGGACAGGAGAGGTTGAGCTGCACGGACCTGTCAGCCTGTGAGATGTGTCTGGGACGCCGGCCAAGGTCCCTGCTGATCTCCTCTCACCCTGCGCCTTCCTGCCACTCTGCCAGGGCTGGGCAGGGGGAGCCTTGCAATGCCTGGCTTGTGGGGGGGGGGCCTGGAGGGGCTGGGAGGGAACTGGGCCATGCTACACCCTGATCCGAATCTTCCTTGGGGTCCTGGGGGGGAGGGGGGGGTTGCTGTAGCCCTGGGACAGTGAGAAGTGGCCGTGGTGGCCCCAGAGCAGGTGCTGGGGTGCTGTGGGGTGGTGTCAGGGCTGTCCCCCCTCAGCATGCATGTCCCTCAGTGGCTGAACCAGCTCTCGGTCTGCGATCAGCTCTAGGCGTCGGGGCATGGAGCCTCCCCCTCTGTCCCCGGGTTGGGGGGGGGTCACCAGCATCCCCACCCTCGCTTCTCCACGCAGGCAGGGGCCGCTCGCGGGGTTGTGTGGCGCTGGGGGGCTGCAGGCAGAGCCAGATTTGAAATGCTATGTCCACCTGGGAATATCTCTGCCTGCTGCCACCAAACTGGCAGGAGCTAGCTGGAGTCACAGGGAATGTTTCGGGAGCTGCTGCCTGAGCTGGTCCTGGCTGTGATGCCGAGAGGCCAGAGGCTGCGGGGCTGTCCGGTCCGTCCCAGCTGCAGTGTGGGAGGCAGAACTGGCCCATCAGGACGTGGCGAGGCTGCCCAGCCGTGCCTCTCTGGCTTTCGTTGCTGTGTTTTGCTGCTTAGCACCTCCTAATTAAATGTAAATATGCGGCTGGGATTTAGGCTTCAGAGCTGGGAGCGGAGCCCATCAGCCAGCCAGCCGTGCTGGGATTTAAAAATCTGCGCGTGCAGAGCCCAGCCAGGGGCTCGTTGCTGGGGGAACGCAGGCACCCGCCAGGCTGCAGCCAGCCCTGCCTGCACCCTGCCTGCTGTGGGGTTTAGAGGGCCTGGGGTGTCACTCCCTGTCCCCGTAGTGCTGTGCCGGTGCAGAATGACCCAGCTGCCTCCTGCCAGCCCCTTGCTGGGGCAGGCAAAGCTATTTGCAGGTCTGCTTGTTGTTGGTGGCAGTCTGGGGACGAGGGCAGTCCCAAATGGGCTGGGGGATGCCGGGACCCTGAGCTGCCCAACCCTGCCAGGTCAGGCAGGAGCTTGCAGAGCACGTGCAGCTTTTCTTGGGCCCTCTGGGTTGGAGCAGGGTGAGATTAGTGTGGTTGGGGCCAGGTTTTTTACACAGTTCTATGCTGGCCAGCATGCTGGGCTTGGCAACACGGGGATTTCTGTTGGAGGGGGGATTTGGAGAGGATGTTTGGATAGATATTGCTGGAGCTGGGATGTCTTGGTGGGGTCAGGAGGTGAAAGGGCAATGGGATTAACAAGGCCTCCCCCATTCATCTCCACCAGCATGGTCTCTGCTCCTCCCCATTGCCCCGGGGCAGCTTGGGGGGATCCATGGCAGGCTCCTGGCTGGACCCCAGGAACTGGGGGGCCCAGCTGGGCTGCAGAGGCAAAGGGATTGTTCCGAGCTGCGAGGAAGCAAACCAGAAAGCATCATTCTTTGATGATTAAATTCCTGGTAGGCACAATGCTGCATCGTTGCTGGCCACCCTCCTGAAACAGAGAGAGAAGCAGAGAGGGGAGGTGCAGAGAAGGGCAGTGAGGATGATCAAAGGTTTGGAACAGCTACTGTACAAGGAGAGATTAAATAGATTTAGATCCTTTAGCTGGAAAAAAGGTGAACGAAGGGGGATATGGTAGAGGGATATAGAATTGTGAATGATGCAGAGAGGCTGAATAGGGGGTGATTATTCACTCTTTCTTGTAGCAGGAGAACCAGGGGCACGCGTTTACATTATTAGGAGCAGGTTTAAAATAAACAGAAGAAAGTACCTTTTTCTGTGCAGCACATAATTAAAATCTGGAACTCATTACTGCAGCAAGCAGGAGAGACCAGCAGTGTCAGTGGGCTCAAAAAGGGATGAGGTGTGTGCACAGGGACTGGGTGTGAGCAGGGGGAATGGATGCGGCCCAAGGCAGGACCACGTGCACCCCGGCCACCAGAGCTATTGGGAGTTTTGGCCAATCTCTGGCTGGTTTGGGGAAGGGGTCGTTTCTGTGGCTGCTGCTCGAGCTGGATGCGTTGACCCCAGGAGTTGGTGCCCAGATCCCCGTTTTGGGGGTGGCCCCTCCTAACCCTGGGGCTGTTTCTTTTCCCAGTGGCCCTGCAGATGCCGGAAGGGCTCCTCATGTTCGCTTGCACCATTGCAGACATCATTGAACGGTAAGACGACGGCTTTTCCGCTCTTCCCCGCTCAGCTCCAGGGCCTGGCAAGGGGGTGGGGGCTGCTGTTGGGAATGGGGTGGCTGCTGGGCGGGAATTCCTGGGCAGGATGAGGCCCAGGGCTCCTCAAGGAGAGTGTGGGGTGTCCCGACATGACTGCTCTCACGGGGACACCTTGGCCACAGCCATTTGCAGGCAACACTGCAAGTTGTCGGGACCTGCTGCCAGCTCTGGGGACAGGGACCGGCCCCGCGCCAGCCTGGCCCTCACCGCTCTGCTTCTCCCCTCACTACTCTGCCGGGAGCTGCTGAGAAGCTCAGCGTGACCCTCGCCAGGGTGACGGAGCCAGGGAGCAGCCGTGTTGGCCGACGCCGGCTCGGTGCCCGCGCGCTCTCCGCAGCCAGCGAGGGGAGGGCTGGCAGCGGGGCCACCAGGGCTCCTGCCCCACTCCCCCGTGACCCCGTCCTGTCCCTGCAGCTGCGCTGCCCTGAGAGCAGCACAGAGGTGCTCAGGGGCAGCCCTTCTCCAACTGGGGAGGCCTGAGGCCACAGTGATGGCCCAGAGAGGGGGACTGCAAGCGGCTCTTGCCAGGCAGCCCCTTCACCGCGACTCCTCTCCTGATTTTCTATGCCACTTGAGACGTGAGGTCGGAGGCGCCGGAGAAGAGCTGGGCTTTTGCGGCAGCAGCAGATGCAGGCACCTTGCAGAAATTGGCCGTAATCTCCTTACTGCCAAGCGCGCCTCCCACCTTCCCTCCCTCCCTGCCTGCTGGCTTTCTCCCTGCTGCGGCTGCCCCCTCCCCAGCCCCTCTCTGTTTTCACACAGTGAATTAGTGCTAATAGCACCGCGTGCCTCGTCTGCCATTGGGGTCGCGGCACTCATTAGTAAGCTGCCTTCCCAGGGCGAGCAGGCTCGCCTCCCCGCTGCTGCTAACCGAGCAGCCGCTGCCGTGCCGGGTGGGGAGGCAGCCGTGCCTGCGGGCTTTGTCCCCGCTTTGCCATCGTTTCCCCCGCAGGACCACGGCAGCCTCACACTTGGGCTAGGCGCAGGAGCGGTGGGAAGGTGGGCGCGGGCAGGGGACGGGTGCGGGGGGCAGAGGGGACGGGTGCGAGTGCGGGCGGCTCTGCGTGGGCTTGTCCCTTTAAGCGGAGCTGCCTCCTCTCCGGCTTTGGCACCCAGCCGCTTGCATGTCTCCGACTTCAAAGGCAGCGGATTAAGGGGCTCTTTTATCTGAATGAAACCTTAAGCCCCATTTCCCGGTAGATGCTGGGGTGCTGGTGGATGCCGGGGTGCTGGCATACCTGCTGGACTCACCCTGCCGGGAGGGTTTCACACGGCTAAGGGGGGTGTTGCTGGGTGCTGGAGAGGTGGGTGCTGGTGGGAGATAGATGCTGTGTGGGGAGAGGTGCCTGACTGGGAGCAGGGAAGCAGCAGCACCAATGGGTTGGTGCTTGGATGGGGGATGACCGATGCTGAGCAAGAGGGCTGTATCCTCCCCTCACTGCCGCCATGCAGCACCCAGAGACACGCCACTGCTGGTCCTTTGCTTGGAGCACTGGGTGCCCTCTATGATTCTAGCTGGGGATGTGGCCGTGCCAGGCACCAGCACTGCTGGCTGGAGGATCGTGGTCCCCCGCTCTCTTGGGGATGTGCTTGGGACCCGGTTACATTGCCATAGGTGAGGTGTGAATCGGCAGGTGGCCTCGTTAGCGCCTGCCTCTTCCTGTTATTAATATTCATCGCTGGCATTAATGTGGAATCGTGGCTCGGCCGCTGCTCCTGCTGGCCCTCCTCACCCAGCACTGGGGCCGGATGAGTCTCCGACGTGACGGGAATCGCTGCAGCCATGCGCTCCGGCGGTGGCTGCCGCAGCCAGGCTGGGAATGGGGGTGCTCAGGGTACCGTTGGCCCCGGGGTGGCGTGTCCCCTTCCCACTGGGGACACGAGGGCTGAGCATGCCAAGGATACCTGCGCCCGTGGGGAGAATTGCTCAGCGAACAGCCCCTCTCCCCAGCCCGTCCCCGCAGCGTCCTGCCCCCTCCTTGTTGGTGGGCGTTGGGGTTTGGGGACACCAGTGAGCTCCCCCTGCCCGCTCTGGTAATGGCTGCAGAGCTGTGCCCAGGGCTGGTGCCCCTGGGGTGACAGTGCCCATCACTGTGTGTTCCAGCTCACCTGGAGCCTCATCTGCCGCCGCTCAGACAGAATATTTATCCCTTCTGCTGAAGCTGCCTTTTAATAAAATATTTGTTCCGTGGCCTGGCAGTGCTGGGGAGGGCCAAGAGTAGGGATGTGGCCTTGTTCCGCCGCAGCACGGGTGTCTCAGGGAGTACACGGTGCTGTCTCTGGGTCCCTCTGTCCTCGTGCAGGAGGATGGCAGTGTCACCGCATCCCCCTCTCCAGTGTGGGAGAGAGCAGATCCCTGTGGAGCCCCAGCGGAGGCAAGGAGGGGAGGGGGCTTCCAGGTGGGAACCCCCCCCAACTCCCTGTCCGGGCTTCCCAGCATTGCACTGGTGCTTGCCAAGCCCCGAGGGGCTGCAGGGATGAAGATGTAGCTGAAGTGTCACAGCTGCTGCCTCCGGAAGGGCTGGTGGGGTACTTAGCCTGGAGCCTAACGAGAGTGCACTTACAGCATTGACCGGCGTGAGGCCCAGTTAATTAGCGTTAATAGGTTTGTCATTATCGAACCTGCGCTGGGGAGGGGGGGGGGCGGCGGGGCCGGGGTCTGCTGAGCTGGCGGGGCGGCGGGCTGCCGAAGCCGCATCACGACGTTCTCGCGGCACCTTCCAAATTGGCTCCGTTTGTCACGGCTGATGTAATTCGGTGGAGGGTAACTCGTGCTGGGGGGCGGCAGCGTGGAGAGGAGCGTGGGGGGAGCTCGGACCGCAGCTCAGGGAGGGGGACAGCCCCCCAGCCCACCCGCCGTTGTGCTGGGGAGGTGGCAGCAGTGCCCGCTGGCTTGGGTGGGGGGTGGGGGGGGGTGTGCAACCATGAGCAGACCCCTCCTCTCCCTCCGCCAGGGATGGAGCAGACGGATCAGCTGGGCTCTCAGCTGGGCTTTTGATTCCTTGTTAATAAAGTCAGCTGTCAGGCTTCGCAGCTGCTAATCCCTCCGTCTCTCTGCGCCGCGACGGGGCGAGCGGCTCCTGCTAATCAGCCGTGGCTCGGTGGTGGGGACAGACGATGGCGGGGCGGGGGGGGGACCCGGGCTGGGGGGGGGGGTGTCCTGATGCCAGTGCAGGCTGCCCTGCCACAGCCGTAGCACCTCCCAACGGCCCAATGGCTTTTGAGCATCCACGCAAGGCAGTGCTGGGGGTGCACAGAGCATCCCGGTGACCATGCTGCGGTGTGCCCAGCAGCATACGAGGACTTTGCAGAGCGATAGGATGTCTTGAATCATCTCTAGTTGAGCAGCAAAGAGTTAAACATCGTGCACCCAGCCCAGCAGCTCTGGCATGGCTTGAAATGCCCCACTATGCCCACCAGCTGTGATAGGACAAAAAAGCCCCTGATGGCAGCAGGTCCCCGGTGTCAGGCAGGCTGTCCCCTCCTGGGGCGGGACTGGGGCACTGGGTGCCCTGGCCAGGCAGGTCTGCCACGTGGCACTGAGCGCTGTGGTGAAGCTGACAGCATCACCGGGAGGTCCCAAAGGGCCGTCCTGGTGTGCTGACACAGGTCAGGATCCGGCCTCAGCTGCACAGTACCATAGCTCTGCCAGCCAGCGCTGCCTTCCCTTCTCCCCTTGTCCTTTAAGTGCAACCTGGAGGTGCTGGCAGCACGGTGCAGCACGCTGTGCAGGGGAATTTAATCACCGTCATTAACTGCACAACAGCATCATTAGGGAGAATGAAGTTCTCACTTCACTGGAGATGTTTAAAACCTCAGCCTGGGCGGTAACGGCGTGGGGGGAGACCAGGCAGGGGGGATTGTATGGGGTCTATAGGGCTGTCACCTCCCAAAGCTGGGATGTGCCAGTGCGGTGCCCACCACCACGTGCCCCACACCAGCTCCTCATGTCCCTGCAAAGCTGGGGAGCTGGCACTGATGGGCAGTGCCATGGCCCAGCCGTGGGGAAGAGGGGACAGGGACCATCTGGGCACAGGACAGCTGCAGTGGCTTTACCACCACCATGATTTGGGCCCTTGGTTTGCCTTTGTTTTGTTTTGGTTTTTTGTTTTTTTTTTTCAGCTACAGGGCCAGCAAAGCTGGGGTAGCCCTGGGATGTGCTCCTCAGGATGGTGAAGGTTGGCCCTGGCACCTCCAGTGAGGACAGAGAGGGAGGTCCCCTCAGGAGAGGGCACCCAGCCAGAGATGGTTGCTCCTGGGGGGCTATGAGGACATGAACCTCGCCCCATCCTGACCCGCTTGCAGATGCTCTGTGGGCCCCCGCACCGCCCGCCGGCAGTGATTGCCCAGCTGCAACGGGGCTCTTCCAGCGCCGTTTGCAGTAAAATTGCAAACTCATTATTTTAATTATGTGCAGCCTTCCTGTGCTAATGAAGTTGAGAGTCTGGTAATGGGGCTTGGTGATGGGCTTCTTTGCTAATTAAGCACATTATTCTCAACCAGGGCTGCACTCACCCCCCACCCCATAGGACAGCAGCACCCACTGGTACCCATCCCTGGAACAGGCTGGGCTTGGGTGCCACGGGGCAGGCAGTGGGCGTAGGGTTTGTGGGGTGATTGTGGGGCTCTGCCTTTCCCCCAGAGGACAGGGTGTGGGATGTTTCCAGGACATAACCCTCTTTCTTATCCCCAAGCTTTTCCTGGCAGGGAGGTGACACCACACCACAGTGTGACTGTGCTGTGAAGATCCACACGCAGGTGAGGCAGGTGGCTGTGAAGCAAGGAGCAGCCCACTCCACATCCCCATTCCCAGTGGGACACATGAGCACCCCAGTATCTTTGTGCCAGCTCCATCCTCCAGCAGCCTTACAGTGCCAGGACCAGCCACTTTCAGCTCAGTCCCTGCAGTCCCCTCCCTGCCCAGGGCTGCTGGAGCCAAGCATGATGGATGTGCCGGGGCCGAGGACTTCTTTCTGCCAGGGAGAGCAGCTCTGCTTCACGGGGTGAGGACCAGCACGGTATCATTCACACGTTGCCGTGGTGTCAGGGGACCCCGCGCTCCTGCCAGCAGCAAATGCTCTCATTTATTTGTTGAGGGCCCAGGATAAATCAGGGCTGCTCCAGCCCAGTGCCCGCGCTCAGGTAGCGAGAAGCGGCCACCCTGTGCTTGAGGACATGCTGGCCCTGTGTGTGCCTGTCTGTCCCAGCATTTTCAACTCCCAAACTTGTCCCCAGGTCGCTGGCCCCACACCGGCCAGGGAAGAGGGGGGGCTGGGAGCGTCCAGGAGTCCCGGAGGTTGGGATTGGGGCCAGGACCTGGCCTGCCTGGGTGCGCATCCTGCCAGTGCTGAGCATGGCACTTTATAAATGGGATTTCGGGAGCCATCTGTTTAAAGGAGGATATAATGAATTAGGGGAAGATGAGAAAAATGCTAAGGCCGGACGGTTTTTCAGAATGAGCCGGGGTTTTCGGGACGTAAAAGATGAATAACCTCCCCACGTGTTCAATATTCATGAGCTCCCAGCTGTAGTGAGTGGCTCAGTGCTGGGTGGGGACAGCCCTGTCACTGCATCCTCCCTGCTGACACGTTGCTGGGACCCGTCTGCAGCTGCAGGGACATGAAACACCCTCAAGGACACTCCCGTGGTCTCACCTCGCCTGCATCCCGATCTGGTCTGGCTGGTGAGCAGCTCCCGGGCCTGCATCGGAGGCAGGTGGCTGCTAATTGACGTTTCCTTCCTCTGTAGTTTGATGAAAGGCTCCGGCGACACCGAACTGATTAAAACATCAAGGGGAGGCCCCTGCACTTGCCTTTGATTTGTCTCAGGAGATGATTGCTGCTCCGCTCGACCGTCCAGCCCAGCCAGCGCGGCCGATCCTGGTGCGTGCTGTCCTGGTGCCCCTGCGCCTCTCCAGCTGGCACCACCAGGCTGCCGGCACCCTTCCAGCCTCGCTGGCCACGATGGCAGCACCATTGAGCTCCCTCCTCGCCAGACATCATCCCGTGGCCTCTTTATCCTTGCTCGGCCGTGGCTCTGCTCCTGGCAGCTGGAGCAGGACGGTTCCCCAGGGCCGGGGGAGGGCTCAGCCCCCTCTCCCCCTGCCCGCAGGCCGGTGGCCTCATACTGCCAGCTGCAGCCCCGCATGCCGGGCAGGGGCCACAGGCACCTCCGCCAGCCTCTGCCCTCCTCCCTCCACCGTTGCTATTTCACTTTCTTGCTCTTCACCCCCAGGGACTTTCTCTGGGGTTTGGGCCAATTTGCATACATTTTAATCTATAAAAAATTAAGCGGCGCTGGCTGCTGCTCTGAGTCAGACCTCCCCGTCCTGAATCTTAAGGAGCTGAATAATTTTCCACTTTTGCTGAGATGTGTGGAGTCTGATTCATGTTCATCTCATCACCTCTCATTAGAGAAGGGGGCTGGGGGCTTGGTGGGGTGGGGGAGAGCCTTCTCGAACCTTCACTGGCAGCCCCCAGCCCCGTGGCACAGCTGTGCAGGCAGCAGCGAAGCCGTCCTCCCGTCTGGGCCACACTAGCGGTGAGGGACTGCAGGATTTGGGTGCTGGTCCGTCTTCTGACAATCCCCAACTGCATCCCCAGTCCCTGGGACACTGCGGGAAACGGGAGATGCCTGGGCTGGACACAGGATTTGGGGATGGCTTTACCCCCTCTCCGGGGATGCTCTGGCAGAGCTGCTCCCCTGTCCCCCCTCCCTGGGCGCTGACGGATGGGCCGTAGCTGTTAATATTCAGCACGCTCCGCCATTTCTCCACCTTCTGCCATCTGCCCAGCTCTGCCCACCATTTCTATTCTTGCTGCCGACGTAACGCTCCCTGCCTGGCGCTCGGGGGGGAGCGCGCGGGACCCTGGTCCCCAGCCAGCACCGGGTGCCGGTGGGGGGGTGATGCTGTGCTGGGGCGCCTGCCTCCCCCGGCCCATTTGCCCCAGCCCCACGCCAGTGACAGAGGGGACCCTGCTGGCACTGATCTACACCCACTAGTGCAACCTCGTGTAAATAAGGAATTAGCATCTGGTTTAAGCAGGCCCTCCAGGCACAGGGCTTTGTCATCGCGATACCTGCTTTCATCTGTAAACTACCACAGCAGCTCCCCGGGAAGGCAGCCAAGCTAATAATCCCCCGAAATGGTGCAATAAAACACCCAGAAAGGTGATGCCTTTAAATCATGCCAGAGCCCCAGCTTTGCCGCCCAGTGCCGGTGTGTGCCCCTCCACTGGCTGGTGGGTGCTGGGTGGGCTTGGGCTGGAGCACTGGATTGCCAGAGCGGGGATGGGGGACAGCACCAGCGTTCACTCAGTGCTTTTCCAGGTCCAAGTGCTACCTAAGCACCAGCTACTGCTGATGCACACCCAGCTTGGCCAAACTGGCACCCGTGGGTGACGCAGCTGGGCACAGGCTGGGGTGCACCGGGTCGGATGGTGCCTGGGCACGGGGGGACGGTGGCTCGGTCAGCCTGGCTGGCACGGCTGGGGATGCCAGGGCCGGTGTTTTGCCCATTCTGGTGGCTCTGGTCCCTAGGGCTGGCTGGTGGGAGCAGCGGCACCACGCTGCGCTGGGTCTCCCTCTGCTCCTCTCCCCGCTGGAGCATTAGGAAGCTGGCAGCGTATTGTTTGATGAGCGGATAATCCGCTGAATTGCAAACAGCTTTACCCAATTGAAGAGGCGGATTACCGCTCTCCAGCTTAATCATGTTGACATCTCGGAGAGTAGCCAGTGCTTGTCCTCTTTGGCACGTGGCAAGGGGCTCAATGGCAGCGCGGGGTCCCCCGGCAGCAGTGTTCCACGGGGCTGCGGGGACAGGACGTGAGCTGTGGTGAAGGCAGGCAGCCGTGACCCTCGCTGTTTGTGCCTCCCTGCAGGTTCACGGATGCGGAGGCGGTGGTGATGGGCGACGTGACCTACGGCGCGTGCTGCGTGGATGACTACACAGCCCGGGCCCTGGGCGCTGACTTCTTGGTGCACTACGGACACAGCTGCCTGAGTAGGTGACGCTCGGCCCCGGGGTGCTGCCGAGGCAGCCTTGCGTGGCACTGTGGAGGCTGTGCTGCTGCCACCGTGCCGCGCTGAGCGGCTCCCCGCGCTGCTCGATGCCAGCTCAGAGACTTAGTGGCAAGGGCTAATCCTTTCCCAAAGGGATTTCTGTTCTCCAGCCTCGCTTGCTGGCTTTGGACGAAGCCAGGCTGGCTGGGTGGCTGCCCGTGGGCAGGATTTTGGGGGCAGCAGGGCATGCTTGTCCTGCTCATCCCATGCGCTGCTGCAGCGCCCTGATCGCAGCGCTGTGCCCAAAAGCAGAGCAGCAAGGCCATGGCTTGGCAGGACCCTCCTTGCCCAGGAGCCCCCAGTGGGGACGGGGCTGCTCTCACCCCTCACCCCACAGCTGTGGGCTTTGGGGGAAGTCAGGAGTGATGGCAGAGGGGAGCGATGGCCTGGGGGGTCCCGCTCACCCTGGGGCCAGCGCTGAGGGAAGGAGGGCACGGGGCCGGGGAAGGCGGCTTTGCAGGTGCAGCGCAGGCTGGGCGGGGAAGGGAGGAGGAGGCTGTGTGCTCCCCAGGCGGATGGTACTCTGGATCCAGTTGCCATGGAAACTGCGCTGCTGTCCCAGATGCTGCTAACTTTGAAGTCCACCCAGGATGGAATCAGCCCAAAAATAACAATAAGACGCTCTGGGTTTTAAGGTGGATCGGCAGAATTGCTGTAGCAGGCATGTGCATCCCTGCCGCTGCCACGCTCCCGGCACCTGCCGGCCCTCCTGGATGTTTATGGGGCTGTATAAATGGGTTTGAAGAATTGCATCAGGCTCCGTATGAAATACTGACTCCCCAGTTGAGAACTCTGTCCTGAAAGCCACGTGGGTGTGAGTGTTCATGGTGATAAATATCTGTGCTAGGTGCTTTGTTACAGAAGGAGGGTTATGGGCAGCACTGGAGCAGGGAATATAAAACCCCTGGTTTGTAGCCTGCTGTTCATGAATGAACGATGGGAAGGGGAGGAAGGGGCTGTATCCAGTGGTGCTCGGGAGCATGACAGCACAAGAGCTGATTGCTCCGGGGGGTGGGAGTCGCATCTTCTGGAGTTGCTCCCTGCAGGGACCAGCAGGCGCTGCTAGGCTGCCTGTCACCAGCCCAGCACCATCCGCTCCCCATGGCCGCGTGGTCCTTGCCTGCACCAGTCCGGATGGGTCACAGCACACCCTGGGGTGCCCACAGGGTGCTGAGAGAGTGCTGGGCTCCTTTCAGGCTGCCCACAGTGCTCCTGTCACCAGTGTGGCCAACCGTGGTGTGTGTCCCTGCACAGCACACGGGCGCTTGCCCTCTCCCTCCTGGCCCCACGTGCCCTGCGGGAGGGAGTAATTTGCACTTAATTGTGATCAGGTGAAGAGCACCAAAATGGGAAGTGAACGCGGAGCTGTGGATCGATGTGGACTCTGTGTACTTTAATTATTCACTTAATTGTGGTGACACGGGCTTCTTAGCACTGGGGGTAATTAGATTTGTGTTCATTGATTCCCCAGGCTGCCATTATCTGGAGAGAAATGAGCGGGTGCTCTCCGCGGCTCCCGTCTGCACCCATCACCCGGGGTGCCAGCACGGGCAGAGGGGTGGCACAGCCCACCCTGCCCTGCTCACACCGGGGCTGTTGGGGCACAGGGAGCCCTGCCAACATGCTTTATCCCCCAGCTGTGGGTGGCAGCAGCCAGGGGCTCACCAGGGCGCTGGGTGTACCCCGCACTCACACCCTCTCTTTTCCTCTCACCAGTTCCTATTGATGCCACTCACGGTCTGAAGATGCTCTACGTGTTCGTGGACATAAAGATCGACACATCCCATTTCCTCGAGACCATTCGCTTCAACTTCGCAGCGGGAACCTCCCTGGCCCTCGTCAGCACCATCCAGTTCGTCTCCACGGTGCAGGTGAGATGGGGAACCCCCCGGCAGTGCAGGGTGTGGAATGAGGCTTCTGTTTCCCCCCACCTGGACCCTGCCTCGGTCCCTCCCTGCCCCAGCTCCGGGGCTGGACCACCTGCCTCACGGAGCTGGTGGTGATGGTTCCCCTCTGATGAGTCGCCACGATAATATGCTGCTGCCATAATGTTGATCAAGTACTTTATAATAACTCTGATCAATGTTTCATGGCAGCACCCCTCCCTGGCTCCCCCGGGAGCTGCTCTGTAAATGTCAGGGCAGGCGGTGGAGCACTTGGCATTTTGATGCAGTGCTGGCAGCGGCAGGGGAAGCTCCGGCGGGTCTGTCTGTCTGCCCCTGAACGGCCGGCTGGGCAGTACGGGAGGAGATGAATGAGCCTCTTGAGCCATGTCTATCTAAACACGGGGCTATCGAAGCGTTAAGAGTTTTCCCTTGTCTTTTAATTGATACATTGGCTGAGCCTCACTGAGCATCTCAGCTATGCGGGGCTGTTGCCCTCTGTGGAGGTGCCACCCCGAGCAGACTGGCTCCCCTCCGCTGCCGCTGTACTGGGGCACAACAGCTCAGCCATTGCCACTGGTGGCTTATGGAGCTGGGACTGCCAGGGCTGGGGTGTCCCCAAGGGTGCCCAGCAGTGCCAGGGACCACCAACCTCAGCCAAGCTCCATGCCACAGTCTGTCCCCGCTGACCCCACATCTCCCACAGGCAGCATCGCAGGAGCTGCGCTCCCAGTACAAGATGTGTGTGCCCCAGTGCAAGCCACTGTCCCCAGGGGAGATCCTGGGCTGCACGTCGCCCCGGCTTGCCAAGGACACGGATGCCATCGTGTAAGTACCCGGGGTCCTGCAGGACCCTCCTGCCTGGCCCAGGCTGCCCACCCTGCCTGTACCCCCTGCCTGGCCGTGGGGCGATTCTGGGGGGCGGCAAGGGGACGGCCGTGGGCTGGGCTGGGCCCCCTCCAATTCCCTGCGCTGTTTGGAGTGTTGTGTGCTTGTAGCACAGAGGAAATAATTGAGTCGTATATCAGAATAGATAATAGATGGAAGGGCGGGTGGATAATTGGAAAAGACAAATGGCTGGGGCCCAACATCACAGCAACATTAATTTTATTTAAGGACAGCAAATTAGAGGGAGCACTTCGCTTCCTATCACCTAATTATTTTAGGTAATGGAAATGCTTAATGTACTGTGAATACAGTGTGCTGCAGAATAAATAAATACAAGGACCCCACCCTTGGGGGGAGCCAGGGAGCCCAGGTGTGGGTTTGGGCCCCAGCAAATCCCTTCCCGTCTGCCCTGCCAGGAGCCAACAGCACCGGTGCCTTTCCGAGCACGGCCGTGCGGGGAGCTGGGCTCATGATTGCTGGCCACGGGGCTGGTGGGGGCTCTGGCTTCACCCTGAGCCACGCTGGTGCCAGGGGGAGAGGCGCTGATTTCCATCTCCCCTGGGGCATCAGGAGCAGGCAGGGGCGGCCGGGCTGGCACCGCATCGGCGAGAGTGGAGGAGCTGGAGGAGCCGCGGTGCGGTACTGACCGGCCGCCCGCGCAGGTGCACACAGCTGGCGTACCTGCGTCCTCCCTGGGTTATTATTTTCATCTCTCCCTCGTCTCTGGGGCTAACTTTTGCAGACAAATTAGCTTTGATCTCCCAAAATGTCATTCTCCAATTAAGGGCAAAATCTAGTCAAGTTTTACGTCTGAATTCATTTTCTAAGCCCTCACTCCATTAGGGCAGCTGAATGAAAGGCTTTGAAATGTAATTGCTGACTTGAAATCCGATTAGAAATGGAAGCAGCAACGTCTAGAACCAGCCATTGAGATGGAGCAGCTCCCAGCCACCCCATGCCAGCGTGGGCATCCCTCCTCACCCTCAGCACAGCCACCTCTCCCACCCCAGCGTGCCGGGGGGCCACACAGAGTCGGGGAGCCCTGGCTGTGCCAGCTGCCCCTGGGTCCCGGCGCGGGAGCTTGGGTTCCCAGCATCTCTGCACAGCACAGCTTGGGAAACCAGCGGGCACATGGGTGGGTGCTGCTGTTTCCCTGTGCAGTAGCTCTCCCTCCCCTCTTGGCAGGTATTTGGGTGACGGGCGCTTCCACCTGGAGTCCATCATGATTGCCAACCCGGGGATACCTGCCTACAGGTATGGGCAGACCCACTCCGGTCCACAACAGCCCCGCAGTGGGGAGCACCCCAGCTCCCCCAACACACTGGGGACCAGTTGTCCCCACCATGCACCCCAGGACTGGGCAGGCAGCTGCCTGCAGCAGGTACAGGCAGGCAAGGGGCTACGGGGTGGGTGAAGAGGTGCGCCACAGAGATGAACGCCAGCCATTTACTCTGGCTGAATATAAACATTTTGACAAGTACCTGTGAAAGCTCGTGGAGGTGCAGCCATTAAAGCCCGGCTGCTGCAGGCAGAGGCCATAAAGCGCGATGATGAGGCCGCTGAAAGCAGATGAAATATCAAGAGTGAAAGGCTGGGCCCATTTGGCGAAATCTGAATTTCTTAGTAGGTCGTTTGTTACTAACGGGAGGCGCACGTCAGGTTTATGGCGCTGGTGAAGCTGCCGAAACCCGAGTGGGATTTGATTAAAATTCTCCTCGTCAAACAAAGCAACAAATCAAATATTTCTTCATAATTGATGAGCCAGGACAGGGGGAAGCTGAATGCGGAGCCCAGGCTGTGTTGGGGGGCTGTGGTGGGACACTCACCTTCTCCCTGTCCTTGTCCCCTCTCTGCACCCTAATGAGCCGGCTGGGGAAAGATGCTGTGGGAGGCAATTAGTGCTAATGAGGGATGGGAATAATTTGGTGCCAGGTGATGGGGTGCGTGTGAGCTGGGCTCTGCTTTGCAGGTACGATCCCTACAGCAAGGTCTTCTCCCAGGAGCACTACGGCCACGAGCGCATGTGCCGCGCTCGGCAGGACGCCATCCGCACCGCCGCTGGCGCCCGCTGCTGGGGGCTCATCTTGGGCACGTTGGGTCGCCAGGGTTCCCCCGGCATCCTGCAGGTACTGGGCACTGCTCCTGGGCAGGGGCAAGGACCGGTGAGTGATGGCACCATCAGCACGGTGGCCACGCTGCCAGGGTGAGGGTGGACCCAGCACCCCTGGCAGCCCATCGGTTGCCACTGGCTGGGGTCTGCGTGCCCCTGAGCTGAGCAGGCAGGGCAATTAGCAGTAGATGAGGGAGGCTGGACAGAGGCTCATTAAACCTGCCCCTTGCTGGGGAAAGCTGGCCGGCCTTGGGGATCTCCCCCACATAGGCAGTTCGGCAATTAATTCCCTGGGTTTGTTTTAATTGGATGAACTTCCAATCAGGTTCACCGTCCCTGCTCAGCCGCTGTGCTGACACTTCCCGCACCTGGGCCGGGCAAGGGGAGCAGGACCCGTGTCCTGCCCCATGGCAGTGGGGTGCCCTGAGCACAGCACCCCCACTCACACCCACAAATTTTGGGGGAGCCACAGGTGAGATTTGGGGCGGTGCAGGGACCAGCAGGCAGAGTGGGGCAGCGAGGCCTCAGCAGCAGGCAGGACACGGGCACGGCCAGGGCTGGCTGGGAAAGGGACAATTAGTGCCAGCTCCGGAGGACAAGGACGTCCCTGGCCCCTCCTGGGCCCTTCTCCTCTTCCTGCTGCTTCTGGCCACAGCCAGCCCATGGCAGGCGGGCATCCCAGGGAAGGCAGCCGCTAACGAGAACAGATTGTTGTCATTGAGCGGTAATTACTTCATTAGGCTGAGGCACACGCTGGGGAGAGCCGGGTGTGAACCGGCGCCACGGTCACTGTGCCTGGTCTGTGACTGCCAAGGGGACAGGGCCATGGGATAGAGCTGGGACACACAGAGGGTCTGATGGTCGGGAAGGGGCTGTGGGCAGGGCTTGGGGGGGCATCTGTCTGGGCTCCCCTAACACCCCCTGGATGCCTTTTCCCCCTCCCCAGCACCTGGAGTCGCGTCTCCGCGCCCTGGGCCGGCCCTTTGTGCGGGTGCTGCTCTCTGAGATCTTCCCCAGCAAACTGCGGCTCTTCCCTGATGTGGACACGTGAGTGCTGCTGACCCCCCCCCCGCAACCCCCCCACGCTGGGGTCCCCAGGGTTCCCCGTCCCTGTCCGGACCTCCAGTTGCAGATGGAAGCTGTCCCTGCCACGTCCGTCCTGCTGTCACCTGGGCTGGCACTGTGCACAGTGCTGTGCCCATGGGGAGGGGACATCGCTCCTTGGCAGGGTGGCACCGTAGGGACCTCAATCCCTCCCCACTCCACTTCCTTCTGGGGAGCTGCTGGGGGGCTTCATCATGGCTTGTTCTTCCCAAAATACTCATCCCCATCTGTTACCACGTTTCCCTGCCAGGTGGGTGCAGGTAGCCTGTCCCCGGCTCTCCATCGACTGGGGAGAAGCCTTCAGCAAGCCGCTGCTGACACCCTATGAGGTGAGCACCCCATGAGGTGAGCACCCCTCTCCCGTTTTGGGGGGACCAGTCCTAGCTTGGGGTGATGCACCAGAGCCTCCCGCAGAGCGGGGAAGTCCCTGCAAGCCGGGCAGCATCCCCTCCTCTCCCCGTCTGTGCTCCGTGCACAGTCTGGGTGTGCCGCTGGGATTTCCGATCTCATGTGAAATCAGTGGGATTCCCGGTGCCAGGCACCCCTTGGGGACTCAGCCCCTTGTCCCCTCCACAGGCCGCGGTGGCTCTCCGGGACGTCGAGTGGCAGCAGCCTTACCCCATGGACTTCTACGCCAGCCAGTCCCTGGGGCCATGGACGGTGAACCACGCCGGCACGCAACCCCCGTGCCACGGCTTGCCGGGCCAGGTGGGCAGCGTGGGGGCACCAGGGCGCGGGGTGTCATCGGGGGAGGGGGTCCCCACTCGGTCCCGTCGCTGTGGGTGGCCGTGCGGGGTGGAGGGGGTGGGCTGGGGGAGCGCTGGCCGGGGTTGAACGGCAACCGGTGCCGCCCGGTGCCACGTACCGAAAGCGCCACCCTGTGGCCTCGCTCCCGGTGAACAGGAACCAGGCCGGTGCCAGCCCGGCCGCGGGGGGTTGGGACACGCGAGACCAACACCCACTCAACCCGCCCACCTCGGCTTCGCAGCAACCCCGGTGGGGGGGATCCCCCCGCAGCCGTGCCCCGTGGGGTGTCTGTGGGCTGAGCACGGGCAGGCTCATCACAGGTCAGGCAGGGGTCAGGGCCCGATCCTGATCCCCCCCCCTCTCTGCTCGTAGGGGAAACCGCCCGCGCCCCCCACTCCGGCGGAGGGTGAGGAGAAGCTGAGCACCGGGGGGGGGCCCAGCAGCCTCCTGAGCTCTGCTTGCACCCTGCCCTGCTACCGCCGCGCTCCGGGACCTGACGGGGAGGGCACCGCCGCCCCCCTTTTCCCCTCGCTTCACCGGGGGTAAGCACCACCGGGGCCCCACGTACCAGCACCGGAATAGGTGGGGATGCACCGGGGGTCCCGCCCCCCCTCCCGGCGTAGCTCTCCCCGCCGCGACCTCCCGCCAGCAGGGGGCGCGCTGGCGCGGCAGAGCGTCGTCTCTCCCCGCCGTCCAATGAACGCGATGTGTTTCGGCGGGAAAGGAGCGGATGGTGGGGGGGAGAGCCGGAAGTGGCGCTCTCCTCTTCCGGTGGGGGTGGTCGCCATGTCGGAGGGGCGGCCGCTGCGGCTGTTGGGGCTTCACGGTTACCGGCAAAGCGAGCGGCGCTTCCGCCAGCGGACAGGCGCCCTGCGCAAGGCCCTGCGCGGCCGCGCGGAGCTGGTGGCGGTCAACGCGCCGCACGCCGTGCCCGGCGGCGAGGACGACGATAGGGACGACCCACCCCGCGGCTGGTGGTTCTCAGGGCCCGGCACCTTTGAGGCGGGGGAGGCGGCGGCGGCGCCGGCGGGGCTGGAGGAGTCTCTGTCAGCCGTGGCGACGGCGCTGGTGGAGCACGGGCCCTTTGACGGGCTGCTGGGCTTCAGCCAGGGCGCGGCGCTGGCCGCCATGGTGTGTGCCCTGCGGGCCCGCGGCGACCCCCGCTTCCCCGTGGCCTTCGCCGTCCTGGTGGCCGGTTTTGCCAGCCGCGCCCCGGCCCACGGCCACTTCTACCGGGAGCCCATCGCCTTGCCCACGCTGCACGTCGTGGGCGATGCTGACGCCGTCATCGCGGCCCCCCTCAGCAGGGAGCTGGCCCGGCGCTTCGTGGAGCCTGTTGTCCTCACCCATCCCGGCGGGCACTTCGTCCCTGCGGCTGCGCCACAGAAGAAGGCCTACCTCGACTTCTTGGACCGTTTCCACCCCAGACAGGGATAGGCAGAGCCCCCGGGGGCTGGGGCGGTTTGATAACAGTCTCTGTAATAAATGAGGCTCCAGCAAGCCACGTGCAGCCTGCCATCTTGGCGAAACATCGCTGTGTTTTCATGCCCTCCAGAGTCCTCATCAGCTCCTCGCTGTGCTGCTCCTCAGTGTTAACGCAGGGCCAGTCTAAATGATTCTTTGTTCTCTCCCTTTTTGCGTTTTTTTTTTTGGAACTTTGTTGTACGCAAGAGTATACGGGTATGAGGAGGAGGGGTTGAGGACAGGAGAGTGACACTACTCTGTGCATCTGAGGTGCTCTCAGAGGCTCGAAGAGCTGTTCAAAATTGGGGTGCCTCAGCTCGGCCACAGGAGACAACTGCAGAGCACACAGATGTAGCAGTTATACCCTAAAGGTTTGTGGGTTTTAATAGTGCTGTTAAAAGCTCCTGAGCCAACCTTCCAGCTGATCTGGGTCCAGAAAAACCTCCTGCCCCTGGCAGGACCAGGACTGGGGTTTCAGGAATGAAATGTCTGCTGGTGCAGCATGTGTGTACCTTCTTCCTCTGTACAAAGTGCCTTTGTGAACGAGAAAAATGTGTCACTACGTTTTTGGCTCTGATGTTTTCCAGAAGCAGAGGGAATTCTTTATTGTTACAATTGCAGGTGTCCTGCATGACTGCTGCTGGGGCAGCCCAGCGGGGTCGTGCCCAGGGCCGTGCTCTCAGGGCTTCTCTAATCCCACCTTGGGAGTGCGGGTCAGTAAAAGAGAGAAATGGGATGAAACTTCTTAATTTGCAGCTGTCCCTGTGCAGTGCTTGGGGGGGGGGGGGGGGGGGGGGTGCAGCGCGGTGTCAGTGCTGCGAGGGATGGAGGACACTGGGGTGCAGGAGCGGCCCCGGGGTCAGGGCACAGAAGTATTTTCTGTGTTTGCTCAGCCAGGGACAGGGCCGGGAGCTGCTGCAGGTTAAAACCAGCCCAGCAGAAGTGAGCCCTGAGCTTTTTGCCCTCTGGTTCGTTGATGGTTATGTGGCTGCGGCGGTGGTAGGAGCATGGGGCTGGGCTAGTGGGTCTCGGGCAGCGCCTGCCTGCTTTGCCACCTCACAGAGCGGCACTGGGTCGGGCTGTGTCACATCTGTGCTGCCTCCTGGGCTGATGTGAAGGTGTGGGGTGTCTGTCACCCCTCAGTCACCACGGGGACACCGGAGGCCGTTTTAGGGGGGAAGCGGTGCGGCTTGGGACAGCGCGGGGGGCAAGGCCAGCCGTGACAAAGCAGCTGGGGAAGGACGGCAGCAGACAGCGCTCGGCCGGCCCCGCCGTTCGTTAGCTGGTTTAATTATCGCTGCGGTGGTTTCCCGCTGCAGCATCTCAACACCCGAGCGGCTCCGCGGGCTGGCGCGGAGGAGGTGCTGCAGCCATGGCCGCTCGCCCCAGCTGCCAGCCTGCACTGCGGTCCCGCAGCCACCGACCCGCCCGTCCCCGCGCCCCAGGGGAGGCACCGCCGCATCTTGCTGCTGGGGGGAAGGAGCCCGGGCGTGCGGCGAGCGGGCAGAAACGCTCCCGGTTCTGCAGGAAGCTCCAGTCAGGTGGGACGTGGAGGGGTGTTGAGGGATAGGGACGAGCAGGGCTGGGGTGTTTCCGTACCTGCCTCCTCTTCCCAGGAAGTTTCAAAAGATGGCTCCTGCCGGGTGGCTCCTGCACCGCTTTAAACAAATGAATAAAAACAAATAAACGCGACCCTGGTCCGCGGGAGGCACAGCGGGGGAGGGATGTGATCGGCTCCCGGTGCGATGGGAGGAGGGAAGCGGCTGCTGTGGGCACCACCGCCTGTCCCGCACGGATGGAGGGGTTTTTCCCAGGAATCCTGCCCTCTGTTTGCTTTTCCACCAGCACGATGCCACCGCGCCAGCCCCTGCCCGCCTCTCGCAGATCTCCGTCTGCTCCTGTGCTGCTGTTCTCAGGGTGCAGCTGCCCCTCCTCAGTGGGGGGGACAAGGCCAACCGAGATCCTCCCACCCCTCACTCAGCTTGGTGGCCGGGGCGGGTGTGTGTGTGTGTGTGTGTGTGTGTGTGTGTGTATATGTATTCTCTTTCCCCATGGCCCAGGGGAGTTGGGTTTTCCCCCAAAACGTTGCTGTCCATGCCCCAGGGCCCCTGCTGGGGGGTGGTGAAGCGAGCCAGGGCTCTGGGTGTAGCCGTGGGGCACAGGGGCCCTGGGGACGGCCACTGGTGCTACCCAGGGGCAATGGGGGTTTCGGCAAGGGGGGGGGGGGGTGTCACCCCTCTGCTCCCCCAGCTGGGGCCCTGTCTGTCCCCCAGCATAGCCCCAGGGCAGCGAGGGCCCCGCGTGGGGCCGTGGGCATGGAGGCTGCGGCTTGCCGAGGCACAGCTTTGCTTTGCCCCGCAGCTGAGCAGAGCCCCCAGCCCTCTCTCCCCCAGTGTCCCAGGGAGGGCACGAGCAGAGACGCTGCCAGCGCTGCTGCCTCCTCACGACCACCCACCGCCTCCTCCCCAGCTCCCCGTGCCCTCTCCCCGCTGACTCAGGCCCTCCTCCGCTGCCCACGGGGCCAGCCACCCACGCGGGGCTCACAGGCCACGGGCTCCCGTGGGCAGCACTGGAAAAAGCAGCGTCCCGCCGAGCCTGGCATCAGGTGGGGGATCTTGCCGGGGTTTGAGCCTTACTCATCTCACGCTCTTCCTCCCCTGTCCCCACAAGCAGGGCCTGACGCAGGCGGCTGGGGGGGGGGCTGTGCTCTTGGAAGGTATTTTGCAGATGATTATACAATGCAGCTCCCCCCCCACCAAAAAAAGGAAAAAAAAAGGCAAAACAACCTGCCCAGCTCCTGCCTGCGAGGAGGCAGCAGCACAGGCAGGGGAGAGCCAAGGGCCATCCCAGCACCCCGCTGCCTGAGCGGGACCAAACCGTTGGGAACAGTCCCCCCCTCCTCCTTCCCCGCTTCACCCGCAGAAGCTTCCAGTTGTGGCTGAGTCACTCCTGCTGTAGCTCCTTCTCTCCTTGTTTTGGATGGAAGTTTTCCATGGAAACCCACGCTGGGCCGGGCCGCGGGCTGGGATAAACACGGCTGAATCACAAAAGGCCGTTTCGCCAAGAGCTGTCAGATGGCAACAACAACGCGTGCGGCGCGCAGGCAGCCGGGGCAGCAGGCGGCTGCCCTGCCTTTTGGGGGGGACAGCAGCAGCACCTCCCCCTGCACCCCCCCGCCAGCCTCACCGGCTCAGTCCCCGCCCCCCCCCCCCCCCCCATCCCACCCCAAATCCCCACGGTGCCAGCATGTCACGGGGGGCCCTTGGTAAAGCCGGGAGCGGGTTTTTGGGGCCACCCGGGGATGCACAGAGAGATCCTGGTTGGGGAGAGCCCCTCAGGGGCCCCCCGCTGCAGCCGTGGGGCTCTGGAGGGTCCCCAGGGACCTTCCCCCCTCTCCCATCCCTGCGTGGGGACACTCGCTGAAGTGCTGGGTGCGAGGCCGAAGTAAGGCAGCGTTCAGGCCGTGCCTGTGCCCCCCACCCCAAACACCACCCCGACGTAGAAATGGGAAGTAACGGCTCGGCCGTGGCAGGCACCGCGTCCCTCCCCGGCACCGCCGCGATCCGCGCGCTGAGGAGGAGCACGGGAGCTGGACAGCCTCTGTCCCCCGGCGCTGACGGCTGGCCCCAGGCCCGGCAGCTTGGAAACACCATCGGAAGCTGAGTCCCAGTGTCAGAAATCCAGGATATTTTTAAGGACTCTGGAAGAAAAACTAATTCCAGGGTGTCAGCAGGAGAGACTTGGCCTTCAAAACAACAACAGCGCAGCCGGAGCCTTCCCAGGGCCGGAGTGTGGGGTCCGAGGGGCTGCGGTGCTGCCTGTGGGACATGTCCCCTCACCCGTGGGTGCCTGGAAGGGACCCGAATGACGCTGTGGCCTGAACCTCGCTGCGACGCTGTTGCCACTGTGCACCCCGGGCAGGAGCAAGGAGGTTTTTTGGGGGGGGGGATGGAGGGTGGTTTTCGGGGCCAGCGGCACTTTCACAGCATGGCCACAGCGCACTGCGCCGAGCGCAGCTGTGGCTTTACCTGGGTGCCGGCGGGGTGGCCCAAAAATCCCCGTCCCGGAGGCGTGCGGTGGATTTTGATGGGAAAAGCAGGAGTGGGCAGCAAAGGAGACCAGCAGGAGACGGGGCAGCACGTGGTGGGGGCCTGGTGCCTGCGATAACCCCTTGCCCGCGGCCGCTCCACCGTGCCACGGCCCCACTGGACCCTGGGGACCTGGCGGTGGCCGTACCCATCTGGGTGAGGGCAGAGCTGCTGGGTGCGGGACCCCGAGGGGTGGATGCTTCTAAGGGGGGGCTGCTCTGACCTGGAGAAAGGGAGCGTGGGCAGGGGGTCCCTGGCTGGCACAGCCCCTGCTCGGTTTTAGGTGGCACCCAGTGACAGTGCCCAGGGACACCCGTGCTGGGGCTGCAGGTCTTTGTCAGGGGTTGTGTCCCTGTCCTGCCGCTGCCACCCTCACCCCACCCAGTCCTGTCCCCCCCACTCACCCATCCCCGGTGTCCCCAGCACCCACCTCCAGGGGATTAGGCACCCCTCAACCCTCCAGGGTTTCCACACTTCTTCCAGCCCTTTCCCGTCTCCGGGGCTCTGGATCCCGGGTGTCCCCTGCGAGGGGGCCCTGCCCGGCTGGCAACCGGTCGCCGCCGGCTGCTGAGGGCCCGGTGCCCGGTGTCGGGGCAGGCCGGGCCGCTCTGACTTCGCCGCTCAGGAATCTCCTGGCTGCGCCGGGCGAATTGTGCAACCTGCGACCGCCCCCCCCGGCCTCCTCCGCCGCCGCCGCCCGCCCCCGGCCCGTCGGGCCTCGCTCAGTCCCCGCCGCGCCCGCCCCGCCGTCGGGCCGCGCTCCGCTCCCGGGAACGAACCGCTGCCCCCCACTCTCCCCCCTCCCCGCCTCAGCACCGCGCACACCCGTGGCGGGACACGACGCGGGAAAGTGTGTGGGGGGAGGAACACGGGCCCGCGGCTGCCGACGCGCTCCGGGAGCCGCTTTACAGATGCGGCGGGACGAGCCCGGTCGGGGGCAGCCCCCGAACAGCCCCGGGGCCCCGCCGGGAGGGCAGGTGAGGGGCTGTGGGGTGAGGGGGGTGGGTTGTTAAGGGGGTGGGAGGGGGTCCCCGCAGTTCTCGCTGCCCGAGGAGGAGCCGCTCGGCGCCCGCCCCCCCGAACAGTAAGAGTTGATGTGCGGCGAGCTGCACCCTGCATGTGAGCTCCTACTGCCCCGGGAGGCGGGCCGCCCCCGACGGGACCCCCGCCGCCCCCCGCCCGCCCCCTCCTCCGCCGCCTCCGGTACCCCGGGGGGAGGGGGGGGGGAAGCTTAGGGGAGGGGGGTGGTCGGTGCTGCCCGCGGTGCGAGTGCGCCGGGCCCGGCGACCATGGCTGTAGACTGTTACCCCCCCAGCGGCACAGTAACAATCTAAAGCCACGGTCGCCCGGGCGGCGTCGGAGGGGGGACGGGGGGGGGACGGGGGCAGCCGGTGCCTTGGCGACGGCGAGGAGGCGGCCCCGCCACCGCAGCGAGCGCGCCCGACCCCCACCCGCGGCGCAAGGCGTGTGTGTGTGTGTGTTTGGGGGGGTGTCTCCCGGTGTGTGTGTGTGGGGGCAGCGTCGGTAGCATCCTTCCTCCCCCCCCCCCCCCACCTTCACTCCCCCCCAACTCCCCACCCCCAGCCCTCCCACGCGTGTCCGCCCCACCTGGGGGGGACCCCCCCCTACCTGGGCTGCAGCGGGAAGGGGGGGGGGGGGGGGCGTCCGCCGTGGTGGGGGGGCTCGGTGTCTGCGGGGGGGGAAAGAGAGAGCGCGGTCAGGCGGGCACCGGGACACTTCCCCCCCCCTTCCTTTTCCACGTCACGCCGCCACCCCACCCGCGGCGGGGAGCGCTCCTGGACGGCTCAGCACCACGGACAGCTCTTCCCCCCCGTTCCCCCCCGTCCCCCCCCGTCCCCCTTCAGCCCCCCCCGGCGCTGCGGCGGGGCCGGGGCCGGCGGTGGGTCATGCTTCAGTAGCCATGACTGTAGACTGTTACTGTCCTGTCCCTACGCAGCAGTAAGCAGTCTAGAGCCAAGGTGCCGACGCGCTGACTCGGGCTCTCCTCGACGGGGTCTCCGCGTTCTTCCGACGCCCCGGGGGGGGCAGCACCGGGGTGAAAGCGATCGATCTTCACCCCCCCCACCCCCCCCCCCTTCTCTTTCCCGGGCTGCGGGGCTGGCAGCACCCTGGCGGGGGGGCACTGGGGTGCGGGGGAACCCGAGGGTGGTGGGGTCTTGCGGCGGGAGTGCTGGGAACGGGGATGGGACTGCGGGGGTCCCGTCGGGAGCGGGGGGACAGCGGGCACCGGTGTCACCCGCAGCGGGGACACACACACACGGATGCGCTTTCCCACCCACCCACCCCCCCCCCAACACTTTCCCCCAAACCCCCGCAAAGTGCAGGCGGCCGAGCCCCCCCACCGTGTGCGCACCACCCCCCCCCCCCACACACACACCCCCCTCCCCCTCCTTCCCCGGGGCGGCTCCGCGCACAGCGCCCGCCCCCGCGCACCGCCCCCGCCGGCGCCGCGCCCCGGCCCCGCCGCCCCCGCCGCCCCCCGCCGCCCGGCCCGCACGTGGGGCTGCGCCAGCCGGTACCGCGCCGCCCCCGCCCGCCGCAGAGCCCCCCCCCCCTTCCCCACCACCCCCTGTCCCCCTGTTTATTCTTCCCCCCCCCCCCCACACACACACACCTTTCCCGGGGCGGGCAGGTGCAGCGCCCGGTGCCGCGGGGCTCCGCTGCCCCCTCCCGCCCCCGCACCGGGCTCCGGTCCCTGCTTACCTGCGGGCCAGCCCTGCCGGTGCCTTACCTCCCGCGGGCCCCGGGGGGGTGCCCGGCCGGGCCCGGGGCCCCGCGGCTCCCGGCGGGGGACGGCGCCGGTGGCGGTGCTGCGCTGTCCGCAGCGCGCGGGGCTTTTATAGGATCGGGCTCGTAGTAACGGGGATCTCGGCTCATTCATAGAAAAGCATCAACCTACACAATGACGTGAGCGCTACGTCAGCGAGGAAATTTAGGGAACGGGAAGACGCTACTATTTATATCGGCGCGGGGGGAGAACAACGGTCTGGAGCCGGGCAGGGGGTCCGGGCTGCACCGGGACCCCGGCCCCCCCGCCCACAGCTACCCCCTGTCCCCCCCCGCCGCGGTCCCCGGCTCCTGGAGATGCGCAGAGGAGCAGCACCCAGCACCCCACATCCCTCCTTCACCTGCCCCCCGGCCCAGGGCCCGTGCACCTGTCGAGGGTCCCGTGACCCCACGGGCTGCAGCGTGGGGCACCCCCGGTCCCGAGGTGTCCACTTGGGCACCCACCGGAGCCCAGGGCACCCATCGCAACCCCCCCACCCCACTTAGGCTGGAGTGTGGCCCCATCCTGGCCTTGTGGGGAGGCTTGAGCCCTCCGCATCACAGGCAGGGCTTGCGCAGGACCCCAGGAGTGCCCCCACCCAGACACCAGCCTGGGGGTGCCCCCTTCCCACCTGCACCTCCCATCCACAGCCACGTCCTGGGCAGCACCTTCCGCCTCCCCCCCAGTAAGAACCCCCCATCCCTCCAGTGCCACGAGCACCCATGGGTGCCAGCCCAATGCCCTGCAGGAGGATGGGACAGCACAAAGTGGTGCGGTGTGTGTGTGTGTGTGAGTTTAGAATGGGGGGAGCACCCCATTGCAGCACTGCGCTGCCCTTGACCCCTCCAGCCTCACAGCAGGGCCTGCCCCCCACTCCCAGTGGGGTTGGGTCCCCCAAAATCCATCAGTGCCCCAGAGCCAGACGGGTTGTGGCTTTGCAGCTGAATTAATTTTGCCCCCCCCCATCCCAAGCACCAATCGCCTCCCTCCCCTAGCCCCCCCCCCCCCACCCCCCCAAGGTGGGCCTAGAGTCACATCCAGGGGGGAGGATATGTGGGGGGGGGATCCTTTTCCCCCCTCATACATCCGTCCTTCCCCCCCCCCCCCCATTCCTGCTGGAGCCTTCTGACCTCACTGTGCTCTGGCAAAGCATCATACCGGTCGCCACAGCAACAGCGGCGTTGTCATTGACAGCAGCATCCGCGCCCGCCAGCATCCGCCGCTGCGCAAGGCCGCACGCTGCTAGGGGGGCCCAGGCCACCCCCCCACCACTCCCCCATTCCTCACCCCCCCCAAATGCAGAAGGGTTCAATGAATGACCCACCACCACCAGCAGCCCCCCCACCCTCCATCACCCTGCCTTAAGGGGCTGCCACTCTGCCTCACCCCCCAAAAAAACTCCTTAAAACCCCCCACCCCGGGGATATGGGGTGGGGGGTGGTGTCCCCCCGCCTTTTTTTTCCCACACAGGACCGGCGCACGCCCCGTCGGGGCTCTCCGGTTCGGGAAAGGCTGGGGGGGGGGGGGGGGGGGTTCGCTGCCGCAGCGTTCCCCGCCGCAACCGTGACTCAGCCCCGGGATTAGTCAGCAACCGGGGCCGGCCCACCCGCAACCGGCTGCGCAGCTCCGCCGCCGCCGCCCCCTCGGGGGTCGCTCTCGGCCCCAGCCCCGGCCCGCTCTCCCGGGGCGCCGGGTGGTCCCCGGGGGACCGGGACGAGAACGGGGGAAGCGGCCCCCGAGGCGGTGGCGGGGGGGGGGGTTGAGGGTGTGTGTGTGGGGGGGGTCGCATCCCGGAGCGTGGCCCGTTGCTGCCATCTCGTGGGCTTTCCACTAGCGGCTGCAGCCGTGTGCCCGTCGCGGGGGGGGAGCGTGGCGGGGGCTCCGCTGTTGTGGGTGGAGAGGGGGAGGTCACCTGTGGGGCTTGCAAAGGCGGGGGGGGGGGGGATGCGGGGGGTGTGGGCAGGCGCTGGGCGATGAGGATTGAAGGAGATGTGGCGACACGAGGAAAGGGTCCCATCACCCCATCAGGCCTCACCCCACAATAAAGGGACCCCCATTCCCTCGGGATCCGTCGTGTTGCAGGGATGAGTGCCCTTGTTTGACTGAGCATCACCCCACAAGAAATGGGTCCCATTGTCCCACCAAGCATCACCTAGAAGGGAAGGGGTCCCATGACCCCCCCAAGCATCACCCCACAGGGATGGGGTTTTCAGCTGCTTGTCACCCTGAAGGGAAGGGGTCCTGTTGTTCTATTAAGCATCACCCCACAAAAAAAGGGGTCCCATTGCCCCATGAAACATCACCTCGCAAGGACGGGTGCGCTTGTTTGAGAATTGCCCAACAAGGAAGGGGTCCCATCACCCCTTCAAGCATCACCCCACAAGGAAGGGGTCCCACTGCTTCACAAAACATCACCTTGCAGGGGTGAGTGCCCTTGTTTGACTATCACCCCACAAGAAAGGGGGTCCCACTGCCCCATGAAGCATCAGCCCACAGACAAGGGGGGGTCCCATCACATCTCACCCCAAGCATCACCCCACTGGAAGTGTTCCTCACCCAACCCGAGGATTGTCCCACAAGGAAGGGGTCCTGCTGCCCCACGGAACATCACCAGGAAGGGAAGGGGTCCCGTCGTCTCACCAAGAGTCACCCCACAGGGATGGGCTCCTCACCCGCCTGAGCATCAGCCTGCAGGAAAGGGGTCCCAGCACCCCAGCAGGCATCACCCCGCAAGGAAGGGGTCCCACTGCTCCAGGAAACATCACCTTGCAGGTGTGGGTGCCCTTGTCTGCCCAAGCATCACGCCGCAAGGAAGGGGTCCCACTGCCCCCCCTTCCAGCTGACGGGGACCTCATGAAGTTCAACAAGCGGAGGTGCAAAGTCCTGCCCCTGGGGAGGGACAGCCCCGGGATATTTGGGGGGGGGGGGGGGCCTGCCTGGCTGGACAGCAGAAAGACCCTGGGGGTCCTGCTGGACACCAGGTTGCCCGTGACCCAACAGCAACCTGCCCTGAGGCGGATGGTGTCCTGGGCTGAGGTTGGAGGAGCGTTGCCAGCAGGGTGAGGGAGAGGGTCCTTTCCTGCTCCTGAGTGCTGGGTCCAGTGCTGGGCTTCCCGGTATGAGATGTGAACATACCGGAGAGAGTCCAGTGAAGGACCACTAAGAAGATTAAAAGACTGGAGCATCTCACCTGTGAGGAGAGGCTGAGAGAGCTGGGACTGCTCAGCCTGGAGAGGGGGAGGCTCAGGGGACCTTACCAAGGTATATCCGTGTGTTGAGGGAGGGCGCAGAGAGGATGGAGCCAGGCTCGGTGGTGACCAGTACCAGGCCCAGGGGCAACGGGCACAGACTGGACCATGGGGCTTCTCTCTGAACATCGGGAAACGCTTTTTCACGGTGAGGAGAGCCCTGGCACAGGCTGCCCAGGGAGGTTTGTGGAGCCTCCAGACTTGGAGATATCCAAAATCCCCCTGGGCAGCCGGCTCCGGGTGGCCCTGCTCAAGCAGGAGGTTGGACGATGACCTCCTGAGGTCCCTCCCAACCTCACCCACTGCGTGATCCCATCCCTCGCACACCTGAGCATCCCCTCACAAGGAAGGGGTCCCATTGCCCCACCAAACATTACCCTGTGGGTAAGGGTCCCCTCATCCACCTGAGCATCCCCCCACAAGGAAAGGGTCCCATCGCCTACCTCAGCATCGCCCCACACGGAAAGGGTCTCCTCCCCCCATCAAGCATCACTCCACAGCGAAGTTTCCCTCACCCACCTGAGCATCACCACATGAGGAAGGGGTCCCCCTGCCCCATCAAGCATCACCCCACGAGGAAGGGCCCCCCACCCACCCCAGTGTCACCCCACGAGGAAGGAGTCCCCTCGGCCCCCCCAGCCTTGTCCTGCAGCTGGTGTAACAGCCATGGGCTGCTGGGGGGGGTTGCGTCATCCCAGGGGGCTCTGCCCTTCCTGCCACCCCACAGGGCTCCTGACATGTTGGGGGGCACCGGGCACCCCAGGAGCACCTGGTAGGTTCCTCTGGCTGTCCCCAGCCTCTCTTCGCAGCAGGCAGGGCTCCGCTCAGGCACCCCCCTGGCCCTGCCTAACTTTGGCAGCAGGGCAGGAGGTGGGCAGCACCCACCCACGCCCAGCCTGGAGCAGCTCAGCGCTGTCATGAGTTTCACGGCCTCAGCCCAGGCGGCGGGGACATGCATCCCCCCCTGCAAGCACAGGGGCTGCAGCGACGGGGTGCGGGGGGCTGCCGTACCCCAGCACCGCCGGGAAAATGAAGTGCGAGCTGCCAGCGGGGGCTGCAGGCTCCTGGCGGTGCCGGATGCGGCCCGGCTGGCCAACGTGCCGTAATCGAAGACATGTGTGTGGGCTTTGGGGAGAGGCTGCGCTGGGAAACAGGGTCCTGCAGAGACCAGGGGGCTGTATCCTGTCCAAAAGCCCAGGTCCCACAAGAAGCCAGGCATGCGAACGCGATCCAAACCACAGCTGGATTTGAACCGAATCTCCCAGCATCTGGGCTAATTTGCTGCAACTTTGATTGATCGTGGGGAGGGGGCACAGGCGGGAGACGCTCCAGCTCAGACCTCCCAACAGAGCCAATGACTTAACCAGAGCTGGTTCCAATCTGCTCAGCACATTGAGGCGAAAATGCCCCTTTCCCCGCGCGCTCCCGTTCCCCGGCGCCGGCTCTGCCTGCGGCCCCGCAGCCCGGCTGTCCCCGTCCCTCAGGGCTGCAGCTCCCCGGGGAGTCCCGACAAGTTTTGGGCTCTCTGGGTGCAGGGTGTCAGGGCAGGCCATTTGGGGTTGGGGCTCCCCCTCCAAAAGGCAGAGCGGGGCAGGAGGAAGGGGGGGATATTAGTGGATCGAACCCCCCTCCACCTGCCCCAAGCCCCTGCGGGCACTGATCAGCCCTGCTGCTCCTGGGAGAGGCCGGGAATGGGAGAGGAGCTACAGAAGAGGGTGGAAAAGGTGAAGGTTTTTCCATTCCCCCCCTCTCCTCGGTCGCTGCCCCAAGGGCTTGGCGTCACTCAGCAGGTAGCTGGGGCAGCCCGGGGTCCCGGCCGGCCCCGGGGGAGGCAGCTGTCTGGGAGCCGCTCGCTGCCGTGATTTATACAGCTCAGCCCCATAAATTACCGGGACGGAGCCCGTGGGAGCCATCGCTCACAGCGACGTCCAGAGCTCGCTGCCAGAACCTGAAACACTTCCAGCCGTTAATTGAAGAAGGAAAAAAAAAAAAAAAAAAAAAAAAGAAAAAAGGAGGAGGGGGGTTGGGGGGGAAATTAGTGCCCGGGGAATTGGGATTAAACCACGGCTCTGTAATGAGGGTCGCCCACGTCCCGCTCCCAGGATCCCGATGCTTCCCGTAGGCATGAGCCCAGGATGGGGAGCAGGGAGGGGGATTTCTGAGCAGCTGCCTGGGATGGGACCACCTCAAGGTCCCCACGGGCAGCACCACCCCATCCTGGTCCCCATGGGGGTGTCCCTGTAGTGAGCTTGGGCACCCTGGAGCCAATGGGAATCTGAGGATGAGTTCCATCTGAGTGATGAGGAACCGGGAGGGCCATGGCTACCACCGCCACGCACCTTCCCTGCCAGCACCCAGCCTCTTTTCTCCCAAATTCAGGACTGGCCAAACCCATCCTGGGGGCTGGGGATGGTGGCCAGGCCAGCGCTGTCGGGGTCCCAGCCCCCGGTGACCCCACACTGACTGCCACTCACCAAGGAATCAGCATTATGGGGTGAAACCCCAAGAGCGTTTGGGGTGGCCCCAGCTGGGAGGGGTGGCCAGCGCTCAGGGTGCCCTGCGCAGGTCAGGGGGTGCCAGTAGGACCCCCCAGGATTGGTGGCCAGCCTGGGGGTGCCCATCGCGATGCTTTGCTGAACAAGGAGCTTGTGCAAGAGGCTGCGGCCGTGAGAAAGGAGAAGCGAAAGTGCGAAGCAAGAGGCGGCTCCCCTTGTGCCAAGGAGGGGACCCCAGGCTGCACCCCCAGCCCAGCAGCCTTGTCGGGGGCGGGGGGGGTGAGGTGGTCGGAGGGATGAAGCAAGGGGAAACATGGCGCTGCCTCCCCCTCCTCCTCCTCCTCCTCCTCATCCCGAACCACCGCAAGCCCCCGGCCCACCCCGAGCCGTCGCCGCCGCCGCACATCTGGGCGCCAGGGCTGCGCACCCCCCCACCCCCCCCCGGCTTTCTGCCCTCCCCCACCAGCAGCAAGTCAGGGCTGGTTGCCTTCCCCTCCCCCCCCCCCCCCCCCCCACCTCGAACCCCTTGCCCACATCACCTGCACCCGCTGGGTTGCCCCCTAAGCACCCTACACCGGTAGCACCCACTCCAGTTCTCCCACCCCCTGGGTGCTACCCCCCCGCTCCCTCCCGTGGGTGGGTCAGCACCCTCGGGTGGGGCAGCAAGCGCAGCAGCCGGTCCCGAGCACGGTCCCTTCGCTTCACCCTTTCCCACCGCCCGCCCCGTCGGGTCCCACCGCGCACCTGCGCAGGGAGGAGCCGCCTCCGGTCACCGGCGGGGGTGGAGCGCACCGGAGCCGCTAGATGGCGCCCTGCGAGCGGTACCGAGAGGGGCGGGGGGGGGGGGGGGCATCAGCTTTTGCCCCGAACCACCGAGGGTGGGAGACCGGGATCCCCGGAGAGGGAAGGTGAGGGGACGGCGCTCGGTGGCTCCGGGCAAAAGCTGATGCCCCGAGGATGGAGATCCCCGAGGGGACGGTGGGTTTGGGGCGGGAGGAAACCGGGAAGGGGGGGGGGGGGGGGGGGGGAAACGGTCTCGGAGAAGGAGGAGGAGACCGGGATGGGGAGGGAGGGAAGAGAGAGAAGGGCGGGGGGGTGGGGTGGAGGGGGGGGCCCGGCTTGTCGGTGCCCCGCCCGGGGATGGGAGGAGGAAAACCTCCCGCCGTCCCTTTAACAGCCAGCGGCGCTGCTCGGAGTTCAGGCCGGGGTCAGGGGGAGTTCGCAGCCCGGGTTTCACCTCCGAGCTGGCGGCGTCGGGAACCCCGAGGAACCGCTGCTGCTTCTTTCACCTCCTCCTCCTCTTCTTCCTCCTCCTCCCGTTCCGTAGGACCGGCCGGGAGCTCGGGGTATGGAGGAACAGCAGCAGCACAGGAGGAGGAGGGTGGAAGGGAATAGCAACCGGCGGCGGCCCCCCCGGGGCTGAGCCATGAGAGTTCACCGAGACCTCGGCTGGTTGGCGGAGGCCACCGGGCGCCCAGGTAAAGGGGAAGGGGGGGGACACCCCGAAAAAATTAAAAATAGAGGGGGGGGGAAAAAAAAAAAAAAGCCACCTCAAAAAGCAGCTCTGCGAGCGCTTGGCTTTGCCCACCTGGGCGGGGGGGACCGGTACCGGAGCGGAGGCGGGGAGGGGAGGTCGCGCTCCCCCCCCCCCCCCCCTCCCCGGCCGTCCCCCCTCTCACCTCGCGGGGGGGTTGGGGGGGGGGGGGGAGAGGAAACGGGGGCGGGGGGCGCCCGGGGGGGGCACGGCCGGCCGCCTCCCGGGACCGGGGCGCATAAGAGCCGGGGAAGCGCCGCGGGGAGCCGGGGCAGCGGCGCTGCGCAGGTAACGGCGGGCGGCGGCCCCGGGGGGGCGGACGGACGGACGGACGGGGGGTACTGGCTCGGTTCCCCCCTTCCCCCCCCCCCCCCCCCCCCCCCCGATTTCCTCCGGCAGGTGGGCGCGGGGTTGCCGGGGCGCTGGCGGGGCCGGGGCGCGGCGCTGGCGGCGGCGGCGGGTGATGTCACTTTCTCCAAAACCCTCCGGGGGTTTTCATCCCCCCCCTCCCGCCCCCCCCCGGCCCGCCGAGAAGCGAGCCCCCATATAAGCGGTGGCACCGAGCAGGCGGCCGCGCAGAGCAGCCGGGACGCAGCGCCGTGCGGGGCTGGGGGCTGAGCCCCAACTTCCCACCCCCCCCACCCCCCCCCCCCGCCCGCCACCCCTACACGCGTGGGCTGAGCCCCCAGACGTACGGGTCGACACCCCCCCCCACCCCCACCCCCTCACTGCCACGCGTGGGCCGAGAGCCCGGGAGGGGGGGGGCACACCGGTTGCGCCGCTGACGGGGCGGTGTGTTGCAGGGCGGCGGGCGAGGAGCGGGATGCTGGACGCCATGGAGGTGCCGAGCCACTCGCGGCAGCTGCTGCTGCAGCTGAACACGCAGCGCACCAAGGGCTTCCTGTGCGACGTGATCATCGTGGTGCAGAACGCGCTCTTCCGCGCGCACAAGAACATCCTGGCGGCCAGCAGCGCCTACCTCAAGTCGCTGGTGGTGCACGACAACCTGCTCAACCTGGACCACGAGATGGTGAGCCCCGGCATCTTCCGCCTCATCCTCGACTTCATCTACACCGGCCGCCTGGCCGAGTGCGAGCCGGGCAGCGAGCAGAGCCTGGGCGCCGTGCTGGCCGCCGCCAGCTACCTCCAGATCCCCGGCTTGGTGGCCCTTTGCAAGAAGAAGCTGAAACGCAGCGGCAAGTACTGTCACCTGCGCGGGGGCTACGCGCCCTACAAGTTGGGCCGGGGGCTGCGCGCCGCCACGCCGGTCATCCAGGCCTGTTACTCGGGGACGCCGCGGCCCGTGGACCTGCCGCCCGTGGAGCCGGCGGCGCCGCTCAACACGCAGTGCGGGGAGCTGTACGCCTCGGCCGCCCAGGGTGCCCCGCTGCACCCCCACGGGCTCTGCCCCCCCGAGCGCCACTGCTCGCCGCCCTGCGGCCTTGACCTCTCCAAAAAGAGCCCCACCGGCCCCTCCGCCCAGCTCCTGCCCACCGACCGCCTGCTGCCCGGCGAGCCCCGCGAGCCCTCCTTGCCCCCGCGGCACGACAGCCCCCCCGTCAGCGCCGGCCTCCTGGCCGGCCACGCCGCCGCCTATAAGGACTCCCCGCCGGGCGGCGAGCCAGGGGGGCACCCCCATGCCCCCGACCCCTTCCGCAGCACGCCGCCCTGCGCCGAGCCCCCGCTGCCCCGTGCCGACGGGCGCGAGCTGATGTACCGCTGGATGAAGCACGAGCCCTTGGGCCCCTACCTGGACGAAGGGGAGGCGGAGAAGGAGCTGGAGCGGGAGGAAAAGGCCGAGTCGCCGCCCGCGGCGCCGCAGCCCCGCTACCCCAGCGTGGAGAGCAACGACCTGGAGCCCGATAACAGCACGAGCGAGGAGACGGGCAGCAGCGAGGGCCCCTCGCCCGGCGATGCGCTGGACCGCTACTGCAACCACCTGGGCTACGAGCCGGAGAGCCTGGGCGACAACCTGTACGTCTGCATCCCCTGCGGCAAGGGCTTCCCCAGCTCCGAGCAGCTCAACGCCCACGTGGAGGCCCACAACGAAGAGGAGCTCTATCACAAGGCAGCGGCCGAGCAGGCCGTGCCCTTCCTGGACAAGGGTGGCCCGGGGCTGGGTGACATCCTGCGGCCCTACCGCTGCTCCTCCTGCGACAAGTCCTACAAGGACCCGGCCACGCTGCGGCAGCACGAGAAGACGCACTGGCTGACGCGCCCCTACCCCTGCACCATCTGCGGCAAGAAGTTCACGCAACGCGGCACCATGACCCGCCACATGCGCAGCCACCTCGGCCTGAAGCCCTTCGCCTGCGACGCTTGCGGGATGCGCTTCACCCGCCAGTACCGCCTGACCGAGCACATGCGCATCCACTCGGGCGAGAAGCCCTACGAGTGCCAGGTGTGCGGCGGGAAGTTCGCCCAGCAGCGCAACCTCATCAGCCACATGAAGATGCATGCGGCCGGTCCCGACGGCAAAGCCAAGCTGGACTTCCCCGACAGCGTCTACGCCATGGCCCGCCTCACCGCCGACCAGCTGGGGCTCAAGCAGGAGAAGGCGGCCGAGCTGCTCTCCCACACCTCGCACTTCCTCAGCGACCCCAAGGCCATGGAGAGCCTCTACCCGCTGGCCAAGTTCACGGCCGAGCACCTGGGGCTGAGCCAGGACAAGGCGGCCGAGGTGCTGGCGCAAGCTCCGCACCTCCACGCCGAGGCCGCCCGGACCATAGAGCGATACTCGCCCCCCTAGCGCCGGCCCAACCGGGGGGCTGGGGGGGCCATCGGGCTCCCCTCGCTGCCCCGCGTGGAGCTGGGGGGGGGGGGCGGAGGGGGAAGGGGGGGGTGCTCGTCCCCCAGCGCTGCCGACGGCCCCGGACAACTCGCTCGTAGCGGAAGGTCCCACCAGAGCTGCCCCGGGATGGCTGGACGGCGCGTCCCGCGACGAGCACCCCGGCTTGCCTGGGAGAAGCCGATAATTCAGGGACTGACCTCGCGGTGCGGTTCCCCCCCTCGCCGTGGGGGGACACCCCCCCCCCCCCCCCCGGGGCACCGGGGCGGGAGCGAAGCACAAGCTGTGAGGCCGGGCTGCGCCCCGAGGCTTTGGAGGACATGAGCCCGCTCCTTACCTCAGGGCCGTCCCCGGCGTTGCCCCCCCTGCCCCGACCCCGGGCGAGGGGACGCCCTCGGCAGCTGCCCGCGTCGCCCCGGCCCCGCGGCGGGACCCGCCGGCGTTCGGCTCTGCCGCGACGGGACCCGGACTGTGCCGCCTCGACCGCTGTGGGCCCGTGAGTAGTTTGTCCATCGTGGCCGGGGCGATGCCTCCGAGCTGCCGGCAGACATCCCGACCGGGAGCGGGCGAGCGTGGCCATCCTGGGGCTCCACACCCACCCCCCCCCCCCCCTCCCCTTCACCCCCAACCCCGGGGCCACGCTGGGAGCTCGGGGACAGACTGACGGAGGGGGACAGTGGGGGCTGAGCAGCGGGTGCAGGGCAGGGGGGACGGCGGTTGGGTCCACGCCGGGATGGGGGGGGGGGGCCGGGGAATTGCGATGCTCCTCGCCCCAGAGCAAGCACTGACCTCCTGGCCCAAACCCAGCGCCTCGGCCACCGGCCCCCCCGTGTTTTTGGGAGGTGGGGCAGGGCCTGACACAGACTGAGCCCCTGGGCCCTGCCCCAGCAGGCGCCTCGCCATCAGGGATGCCCGGGGGGCCCTGGGGGGCCCAGGGACCCGGCGGCTTTGCCCTCGGGTGGTCACTCGCCTCGATTTTTTTTTTTTTTTTTTTTTTTAATTTTATTTTTTGTTTTTTTTTAAAAATTTTTTGCCAAAGATGCCCGTCCCCAGCGTGGCCGGGCCGGGCCGGGGAATTCATGACAAAGACAAAGCGGTCTGGTTTGTCAGCTACGGGGAGGTGGGCAGGGGCTGTGGGAGGGGGCCGGGGTGGGGGGGGGGAGAGCCGAGGGAGACGAGGGGCTGCCCCAGGCTGGGCTGCAGTGACCTGGGGCCGAACCCTTCCATGGGCGAGCCCCTGCTGCGGCTGCACCCCCTCTCTCTCCCCTTCTGCTCGGTATGGGCAAAGCCCCCCCGGCTTGGACACCCCCCCCCCCAGCCCGTGCCCTGACCCCTCTGCCTGGGGTTAATGTGAAGCTTCTCCCCTCCCCGAGCCCCCTCCTCTCCTTTGCACACGAGGCCCCGGGGCGGCCGCCAGCAGCGACCATCCCCGGCCTCGCAGCCACTGTGCCTTAGCCTGAGCTGGCCACTCTTGCCCAGGTGTCCCCCTTGTGTCCCCCCCCCCTCCGGGGCTCCCCAGGGCTGGCAGTGTCCCTCCGGAGCTGCCGTGGGGCGAGCGGCGGCAGCACCCAAAGCACAGCTGGCAGCGCCCGGCAGGGCCGCCAGCCCCCTCTGTATCACGTCCGATTTGTACACGGGCTTCTTGCCCCCCTCATTTTTTTTTTTTTTTTTTTTTTTTTTTTCTATAGTCGAAACCGAATGAGCAATAAAATGACATTAACATGCACGGGCCTTGCGTTCTTCTCTGGGGCCAGGCCTGGCCAGTGCTGAGTGGGGCTGGGGGGGGTGACCCCAGTGGGCACATGGTGGGTGCAGAGCTGCAGGGAGGGGAGGGGAAGGGCTTGGCAGGGCGGCTGGTTTGCCTGGAGCCCCCCCTCAGTCGCGTGTGGGGGTGCAGCTGCAGGTGGGACAGAGCAGCTCCCATCCTTGCAAGAGCAAACGCGTCCCACCGCCGTCCCTGCCCGGAGCCCCCTGCGCCCACCCCCTGCCTCAACCTCGACAGCAACTCGCCCGCCGACGGCGAATGAAAGGCCACGCTGCACAGACAAGTGTTTAATACTAAAAATTATTAAAACCATCTTAACAAAATAGCCCGAACGCGGCTGCCTCCCCGAGACACGGGCTCCCTGCGGAGGGGCTGGGGGCAGCATCCTGGCACGGACGGCCCCGGGCACGGGGCGCTCAAGCCGGCGGAGCCCCCGCCGTGCTCTCTGTCATGCCAGCTCGTTTGGTGACAGCAAGACTCGTCCCACGGCCGAGCCCGTGGCACCGTGTGAGGGGACTGCGTCCGGCAGAGCCGCAGCCCTTGGGGCAGCTCCGTTAGAAAAAAAAACCAAACCAAAACAAAACAAAAACACCCCCAAACATTTAAACACACCCGGCGTGGAGGAGAAGGCGGCAAAGTCTACACACTGCCTGTGGCTGCGGGCATCGGACCGGGACGTGGGTGCTGCGTGCGCCGCGGCCCCGAGTGGGCTCCAGCCGTGGCGATGGCTCTGGGCACCCCGCAGCAGGCCTGGGCACCCCGAAGTCTCTGTCGAGCAGGCTCTGCCCCGCAGCACCGACCCTCCTTCGCCGGCGGCCGCCCCGCGCGGGGCCTTCGTGCGGCACAGGTTAGCGAGCACAACCCCGCCGGGCTCCGGCGCTGGCGAGGCTCCAGCCCCGCCGCTGGCCCTCGCAGGGGTAGCGTGGGGCTTCCTGACGCTGACACCGGGTCCGAGCCACCCACGCAGGAAAGGAAAACGCTGGGCTCCATCCTCTGCTTCCTCTGCCACCTCTGACGCTTCCCTCCCACGGCCGCGGCGCCCCAGCAGGGACCGGGGACGGCCTTGGGGTCGCTCCCACCGTCTGCTCATGGGACTGGGACTTGACAGAGCTCCAGGGGCTCCGGTTCATGGGTTAATGCTCCCTCTTAGCTTCTGTATCTGGCGCGTAACTGGGCCGGGGATGGGACACTCGGTGATGGGACAGCGTGGTGGTGGTGGGGAGGGGGGGGGTGGGTGCTCAGCAACACCCCCGGTGCTGCGCCGGCTCCCGGTGCGGTACGACCCAGCGATGAGGCAGAGGTGTCCCTTCACGGCTCCCTCCACGGCGAAGGGGCAACTCCAGAGGGGACCGTCCCAGCTGGGCAAGCGGCGGTGAGGCGGGGGGGGGGGACAGGCGCTGCCCCGGCTCGCAGGCATGGGCAGAAGCTGGATCCCACACGCAGGAGGAGCCCGTGGCAATGTGAGGACACACGGGACCTGTGGGACGGCCGGTCCTGGGGTCCTTGGAGGATTTTGTTAGCTTCGCGCTGAGTCTTAGGTCAAAAACGTGTCTAAAGGTAGCGGGGTGGGACTAAGGGAAGGGGCAGGTAAAGGCTGGGGTGGGAAGGGGAGCAGGACAGAAAGCAGCTGTGGGGAGCCTGGGGGTGTCCAAAGCCTCCCTCCAGCAAAGCAGGCAGGGCACAAACCTGAAAACTATCCTATACCGAAGTCTGAAATAAAACTCAACAAGCAAACCCTGCACCAGGGAGAGGACAAGCACCTCCGCAAGCAGCACCCCCTGCGTGGGGCGGGCGTGGGGGTGGAGAAGGGGTCGGGGGCCTGGGGCTGCCTGGGCCACGCAGGACAAACAGGCTGGGGCAGGAGGGAACCTGCCCTTGAAGTCCACGGCCTCTCCGAGGCGCATGAGCTAGACAAAGCGATCCCAAAGCCCGCGCCGGCGCGTCCCCGGTCTCTGCCTTACGCAGCCTCCGAACCCGAGGAGCCACTGCCCTCGTGACTCGCGCTCTCTGCAACCAAGCAAACCAAGCAAAAGGCTGGCGGGGCCGGCACGGGCTCACCCAAAGCTTCCCTGGCCAGCGGGGCTTGCCAGCTCCGCTCTGGCACTGCCCAAAGGCTGGTGGGGCCCTCAAACGGCCCAGCCTCCACGTGAACCATCCACAGCAACGACCTTCCCAGCTGGTCTGCCCTCGGGAGGGGGGGGGCCCTTCGCAGCACGGCCGTTCTGGGGCGGGTTGAAGACATGGCGTTTTATTGTTCGTGGTGGGCTGGAAGGCGGTGGCGGCGCGCGGTGAGGGCTGCCGCTGGAGCTTTCTCCCACCGTAACAGGCTGCGTGACTCGCTCAGGGGCTGTCGGCCCCGCTCGGCCCCCTCAGCCCTCCTGGGCCCACTTGAGGAAGGTGGGGATGTCCCGCACCGGCACGTTGCGGGTCAACGCTTTGACTCGCAGGTTCCGGTCGTCCGTCAGCAAAACCACTTCCCTGAGCAAACGGATGGGATCATCTGCGACGAGAAAGAGAGCGGCGGTGAAGCTCAGACCTCCCCGCCTCTGCCCTCGCACCCAGCCCACACCACGCTGTCCCCACACCACGCTGTCCCCACTTCCCAACCCCTCCCGGGGTGCTGCACCCCAGGCACGGCAGAGCTGCCCGGCACCGCTCCCAGCTCCCCGCTGCCTGCCAAGGCTTTTACGCTGCAGCTCGGAGACAACACTTCATCTCAAAGGCTGCTTTCTCCCCCCCACCCCCCCGGCCCCGCCGTGCTGCCCGGGGGATGATTTGTGATCTCTGCCCGCAGCCCCGGGGTGGGGAAAAGCCGCGAGCGGTGCCCGGGCTGCCCGCACGGGCCAGTGCAGGCGGGGAAGAGGAGGTGCCTTTGCCTGACCCAGGCCAGGAAGACGGCCCGCGACCCTGGCTCCAGCAGGAAGCTGGTGCTATTATGCTGGTGATCTCATTATAAGATCTAAAACCAAGCCTTATTTTTCGCGAAGCTTTTTGGAGTCGCCACTGACACCGAGGCGTTTCTGGCTGGGGCTCAGACAGCCAGAGGGAGAGTTGAAGCCTGAGAAATAACCGAAGGGATCTTGCCCCCAGATGGATGAGCTGCCCCGCACGCAACGCGCCGGGCTGGGATGTGGGAGCCACGCTTACGTGTGTGCGAAGCAGGGGAAGCATATGGGGTATGTGTAAGCAGCTGGGTCCTGTGACCAGAGTACTGTTCCTATGAGCACAGGAAACACAGTGCCTCCGAGCCAGGACGGGAATGGAAAAAACAGAGTTTATGGGAGCCCAACATGGGCCCAGATTGGCTGCGTGGGGCGCGGCAGGACGAGGGGAAGGGGAGGGTGGCCAGGAACGCGGGGCTATGGTCGCGGTGTCGGGGCTGGGGATGGTGGGGTGAGCACCCCGGCCGGAGGAAGGGGAGCGGGGGGCTCGGCGGGAGGGCAGGCCTGGGGCCGAGGGCTGCCGAAAGCGGGATCGGGAGTTTTTGTGCGGACACTTTAAGAAATGTGTAACAATAAACATCCTCTGCTCCGCGCTGGTGACGCGCCTCCTTGTTACAAACCAGAGGCTGTCAGCTTGTCAGGCCCCATTCCCCATAATCCACATGATTTCAAAATTCAGCATCATTTGCACATAAACATTTGGTGACGGTTTCTCTGTGAATCTGACAAGTTAAGCTGCTAAGAATTCGCACTGACAAATGCGGGTTGATTTCTTGGGCAGCTGCTGATGCGATTCCCAACCCCACGGCCCTGGCAACAGTCTGGGGGCTGTCTGGTCCCGGCACATGTGGCCAGCGCCAACTGGGCATCCAGAGGGAAAAGGGCCCTGGACAGGAGACACCAGGGCTCACAGGGAGGAGGCTCCTTCTGGCCCTTCATCACCGCTGCCGGCAGCACAAAATGGGTCTGTGCACATTTATGGTGGGCTTCTCTCATGGTGGGTGGTGAGGCATCCCCAGAGTGCGGCGAGGTGCCCATTTGGCAATGTGGTGGGAGGGCCACAGCCTGGGGCTAACCGGAGGCAGGAGGTGGCACCTTGGTGTTGAAAGAGCCAAAATGCGGGAGAGCTCAGCTCCAAAGGCCGTGAAAGAGAAATGAGAAGAGTCTGTGGAATGCAACAAAGAAGGGACAAAGAGGATGTGAGGGTGTTCTACCTTTGTTGGAGGGCATGAAATCCTTGGCCTTGTCATTGCAATAGTGGAGGCAGCAGGACAGAATCAGGTCATCGTTGTTTCCCTGGAAGAAAAGGGCAACGTTACCCCTGGCAGGAAAAAACCTGCAACCCCCACCCCGCCCTTGAGACAGCACCACAGCTCAGCAGCTAGCGGGGCTGTTCCGAGCCGAAACACACGCAGCCCGCAGCAGCCTGCAAAGGTGGGGACAGAGCCCCCCCCTGCCCGGAGCTCGCGTCCCCCGGGGTCCCTGGTTTGCTCCCAGGAGGTGGTGGCAAAGAGCCTCCCGCCCCCGCAGCACTGCCTGCGTGTCCAGATGCCCCTTACCTGCTGGCCGGTGGTGTCTTCGCTGCGGAAGGAGATGGACTCCAGCTCGTTGCCTCGGCTGGTCAGAGCCCTCAAGCAGTTGTCGCGGCTCTCGAATCGCTCCTCCAAGAACTCGATGGACTTCCTGGCTCTCTCCTGCACTTGGCGGGCATAGCCTGCGGCCCGGTGCTCCATCTCCGGGCCCTTGGCCAGGCCGTCCAGCTCGTTTATCACTTTAAACAGGAAGAGGAGGTACAGTTACTATGGGACAAGGTGCTCCCATGACCTGCTGCTGGAGCACGCAAGTTGCCAAGGCCTCGGGGCCGGGGCACTGGGAGCTGGCTCAGGAAATCTGGGTTCAGCTGCCGCAGAGTCCCTGCGCTCCTGGACTTGGCTGTGGGTCTGGAAAAGCTTTGCTGCCTTCCACCTCCGTGGGTCACCTGGCTCGGCCCCGGGAGCGCAGGCACCTCGCCCCCGCAGTGTGGGGTAACTCTCCCTAAGGGCACCTCGCTCCGTGAAACGTGGGGAGCATCGCTGTGTCCCCCTCCTCCCCACCCCACGGCCAGCAGCGCCGCGCCTCCTCCCCGCGTCGCACCGCCTGGCTCCACACCTCTCGGCTCCCTGCACTTAACTTTCAGACACGGGAAGCTGCTGCCCTCCTGCCGCAGGGCTACACGTGGGAACA